AGTGTGGCTTTAAAACTTTAAACCCAAATATGAAAAAGAACTTTTGGGAATTAGGCAATTTCTGCCTATTTTGAGGGCCTCGACAAAATATATTTGAAGACAAAATTAAGATATTTGATCGGTTTGAGAATTGTATTAGGGTTAATGGCAGATATCGATATATTCTTTTATCGGTGTATCTTTTATCGATTTAATTTCAAAATAATTTTATGTTCAATTTTACTCGCTTTCGCTTTCATTCAGCGAGCTTTTTAACCTCCCCCTGTAACCGCAACAGGTTATCAAACCCTTACTTTTCCACAGCGCAGTGGACTCAACATTAAATTTTTTTACGTTTGCTTTGTTTAATTTTCGCTTCACACACTCCAGGACCCATTCGTTTGAGTCAACTTGCATAATGTATTAATTTAAATCTAAATGTATTTATTAATTTCAAGCTGGTTAATTTTAATTTGTCTGGTTGCTAATGATATAACTAATAAAAATTCAATGAATATCATATATTCATGCTATATACTCGTATATAGTTATTGTAAAATAAGGTCTTAATCAAGTTGTTTACGGCCTTTACTAAAGAATTCATACGCACATAATTACTTCTATTAAATTTTGAATTCTTACCAGGAAACTCTTGCTCTCTGGCTATACTCATTGCTGCGTCCGCTTCTAAAAAATAAAACGACAGTTTATTTCCTTAAAATACAGAAAGTGAAATATCGATTTATTTAAGATTTATACAAGCAGTAATTTGAGGTTTACAAATAGAAGGTTTTATAGAAAAGTAAAATGAAAAAGGTTATAATGATACCTTGCACTTCATGGGGTTTTTTAGGTGTGCGTTTGGCAGGAACTGTAAGATGTTCCTCTTCATACGTATCTTGGTTTACTTTTTTAGGTTTTAGTTCAAAACTAAGTTCTTCTACTTCACTGATCTCATACGTCGGTTTTTTATTTTTACGTTTAATAATCATTTCAATATTTTCATCGGATTCAGCGTCGCTAACTATTATTTCTTCGGTTTTACCCTTATCTTCAACTTCTTTTACAAGTTTGATGGAAGTTTCAACAGCTCCTTCGGTAAATGTTGTTTTCGTCTTAGGTTTAATTTTAACATTACTTGAAAGACAGACTTCTGTGGGAGTTGATTGTTCTGCTTGTGTTTTAACATCAAAACATACACCTTCTTGGTCATGAACAACATATTTAGGTTTTTTATCTAATGTAATATTTATGTCTTGGGTTATTTCTGAAACTGCATTCATAGAAGTTGGTTTTGAAAGTTTTGATATTAATTCATCTTCATCAATTTTCATATAATCTTGAGGTTTTTTCAACGGTATTGTTATATCTGCTGTTTCTTCCTCATTCAGTTCAGTATCACTTTCTATCACTTCTATAATCTCAGGCTGCTCTGTCTCCTCATAAAACTTAATTGATGCTTCATTTGCTTCCTCCTTAAATGTTGGATGACGTTGTGATCTTAACTTCACTTTGCTTGACATTGAAATTTCTTCTTCAGCATAAGAGTCTAAGTGAATATTAAATTCCTGCTCAACGTCTTCTTTTGTTTTTGTAGTTTTCGGCCTAAATGTAACCGTCTCTGGCTCCAATTCTTCTGTAAGTGTAACTGATGATTTCCGAATAGGCTTTAGGGTCTTTTTTATTGTTACTTCATCAGTTATGTCTTCTACTTTCTTAATAACAGGCCGCTTGTGCTTTATTGTAACTTGTTCTGGTTCGTTATCTATATTTTCTTCATCTTTTTTAGTGTCAGTTTTATATGCTTCAACTTTTTTCTCATTCATATTTGCTTTTATATCCTCAGAATCAAACGCCAGCTTTTCCAGTTTAGGACGCTCTAAATCTGGAATATTGACTTGCAATTTTAATGATTTTTTAAGTTTTGCTGCCTCTTTTACATTCCGTGATAATATTCCACTTTGACGAATGCTTCCAATTGAACTTAAAATTGGCTTAGTTATTTCTGGTGGCCAATCAGTAATATATTTTATGCGGCTTTTCAATTGGAATTTTGGTAAAACTACTGATGAAGCATTTTGTTTTGGTTTAGCAACAGTTTTCTTTAATTTAAGTTTGGCAAACTGAGGACCTTCAATACTGTCTATGAATTGTGCTTCGCTGGGCTCAAAAATTTTCCTTTCTATTTTCATAGGGATCATCTTTGGCATTTTCTTCTTCTCAATAGCTTGTGTATTAGATTTAATCGACACCTCTTTTAAATCTATTGTTACTTCATCTGGCGCTTTTATTTCTTTCGGGTTTTCTACGGAAACGTTACGATCTTCTTGAAGTGTTTCGAGTTCAATGGGTACAATAGATTTAGGTGCTTCAGCGATTTCAGGTTTTTCCAATACCGTTTTTTCTAAATCTGGAGGCAATTGAATAACAACAGGTTTCTTTTTTATTTTTGCTGCTTCTTTTATATTTCGGGATAAATCTCCCTTCTGTCTTATACTTCCCAGAATTGAAATTACTGGTTTAAGTTCTGTTGGTGGCCAGTCGTCAATGTATTTTATACGACTTTTTAGCTGAATTTTAGGTAAAGTTATAGCTGTTGGTGGTTCTGGTTTTGATTTTTGAACAGATTTTTTTAACTTCAATTTAGTAAACGGAACTCCTTCAATTTCTTTAGGATATTTGGCACTTTCTACGTTTACATGCTCAATTTTCATGGGAATTAACTTCTTTAACTTCGGGATTTCTTGAATTTCATCTTCATGTTTTTTCTTTGTTATCCGCTTGGTAAGGTCTTCTACTTCCGATGATGGGCTATCTTGGTAAATATTATTAATTTTTGGTTTATCTGTAAATGTAAAAATTAAGATATCAAAATATAAAATATATTTGAAAAGAAAATCAAAACGAGACGAATTTTTTTAATGAAGTTTACACCTTATAAAAACTCCGTGCGTAAAAACAGTTACTTTACTATTATGAAATAATATTTCACTATCATGTAAAAAAAATTGTTTTGGTGTAAAAATGAAAAAAATATACCTATATGAAATGATATTTACTATCATGTAAAAATTTTATTTTGATGTAAAAATTAAAAAAAAAAAAGGAATACACAAGTACCATCAAGTAAATAAGTTGAGGAAGCTACAAAATATTATTTCGTGAAATGAAGTATACAAGTGTAAAGTGCAATGAAAAAAATCTTTATAACTATTGCCATAATCAACATGTTGTCATCTTGATCTAAGCATAATAGCCGAAGATTATACACGCAATTACGCGATTATATGTGCAAATGAAAATTCCGAGTGCTTTCAAAATGTTTATAATATTTTGAAAGCACTCGGAATTTTCATTTGCACATATAATAATATAAAAAGATAAACATTACAAATTCATTACACGTAATACTGAGCTTTCAACATCACCATCATTTACAGCCTATCGATGTCCAATGCTAAACATGGGTTTCCCCACTAATTGCCTCATATTATGGGGGATATTTGCTTTTTTTTGATAGCTGGGTTTACGACCGTAGTTTATTATTTTCTAGTTGTTGTCAAGAAGATGATGACCCATTGGAAGATATGTGGTAGTGGTAACTATTATTTCGTCACTACACCGTACTTTTATTACAGGGTATTTCCGATTTACAATTAACTCTCCCAGAAATCACTTTGAGCTAGTTAAAAGCAAATGCTACGGTGTCGGTGCAAAAAATATATTTATAATGCTATTTTTGTAGATCACACTTGAAAACGAAACATTTGTTTTAACTAATATTTGTATTGAATTTAACCTTCGATACATTATGCCTTACCATGAGGATCACGTGAATGCAACAACGTTCACTTTGTTATTAGCAATAGATGGTTAGCTTTTGGATTGATTCACGAATCACATGCTCTTGAATAGATCTTGTAAAACCGATTCAAAAATTACAATAAATTTTAGAGTAAGTACATATACATATCGACATGCATACTATAAATCATAATGGCATAAGAACATACGTCAAACTCTATCGTATAGACATACTGTTACTTGATCCTACATAAAGATTTATTGACCATGTTTCCCAGCATATCCCTTCAAAAACATTTTGTGGGTTGATGTATGGAGATAGGGTTATGTTTATGTCTTTAAATGGGAATCCTTTTCATTCAAATCTTTTAATAAGTGTATTGTTAATTAAAGACCTACGCTGTATTCGATTTTATTACGAATATTGTTTACTTAAGATGCATTTTCACGTAGTATTTTGAACTAAATAAACGCTCGATAACAGAAAATTAAAAATTTGAACATAAACCGAACAACATGTTTGCTTGGTGACAATTATTTGCCCTTTCTTTCATGGTGGATATCATAGTTTTAAATTTTTAGTTTTGGATCAAATAAAAACGTCACTTAATTTCAGTACCTACTACACATATTTTTTTTCTATTTGGCCTACCTTTTCCATTAGGAAAATCCACAAAGAAGTCTGCCCAGAAAGCCCATAACTTTCATCTTATATAAATGCCTTTTCTATACCTTTCACTTTTACTGTTGTCGTCTCCTCTTGATAAACTTTGACTTTTTCAGATTCCTTATCGATCAAATGTTTGCTCAGTTTTGTGTATATCAAGTCGTAATTCGACATCAAATTGAGTTCTGATAATTTGTGTCGTTCCTACTTTTGAGCCTACCTTTTATTTTATAACGCGCTTAGTAATTTTCTTATGCTTCAGCTTACCTTTATTACAAAAGAATGCTCCTATATTATTCTCCACGGGAAGCTCTACAGCTTCTTCTTTATCAGACAAAGCTTCTTCAGTTACCGAAATTGCGGTGACCAGTTCTTCACCTTTTTTCACGACCATTGTTATTTCGGTGACCTCTTGCTTAGGTCCTTGTCGCTTTTTGATCACACGTTTGACAGTCTTAACTTTCTTTAACTCCCCTGTTTCCTTCTGCACCTGATCAACTTTAACTTCTTCAGGTTCGTCCTCGACTACCTTAGCTTTATTTAGTTCGAGTACGTCATCGAATGATGTAGTATTGTCGTCAAATGTTTTCTCTGTTTTGTGTATTGTAATAACTGGTTGTTCGTCGTCTTGTTGTGTTGTGAAAATTTGTATGGTTTCTAATTTAGGACCTACCTGCTTTTTGATTATTCGTTTAGCAATTTTCTTCTGAAATAGCTTACCTACTTCGCATGGCAGTTCTTCTATGGTTGTTTCCTCGGGAAGCTCTACAGTTTGAACATTTTCCGGTGCTTGATCTTTATCAGAAAAAGCTTCTTCAACGACCGAAACTGTGATGATAGGTTCTTCATCTTCTTTCTCGACCGTTCCTATCTCTGGTATTTCTTGTATAGGTCCTTGTCGCTTTCTGATCACCCGTTTAACTGTCTTTACATTCTTAATCTCCCCAGATTCCGTCAGCACCTTTTCTACTTTAACTTCTTCAGGTTCTTCCATAACTACCTTAGCTGTATGTGGTTCAACTAAATCGTCGAATTGTGTTATAATGTCGTCAAAAGTTTCCTCTGTTTTGTGTATTGTAATGACTGGTTTTTCGTCATCTTGTTGAGTTGTGGTTACTTGTGTGGTTTCTAATTTTGGACCTACCTTCTTTGTGATCACTCGTTTAGTTACTTTCTTTAGTATCGGCTTACCTTTTTCACGTGGAAGTACTTCTATGACTGTTTCCTCTGGAAGCTCAATAATCCGTTGTTTTTCGGGTGCTTCTTCCTTATCAGACGGAGCTTCTTCAGTGACCGTAACTGTGGTGACTGGTTCTTCGCCTTCTTCCTCGACAGTTGTTCTCTCCGTCTTAAAGTTCTTTATCTCCCTAGTTTCAGTCTGCACCTGATCAACTTTAACTTCTTCAGGTTCTTCCTCGACTACCTTAGCTTTATATCGTTCGTGTATGTCATGTAAATGTGAAGTGATGTCGTCAAATATTTTCTCTGTTTTGTGTATTGTAATGACTGGTTGTTCGTCGTCTTGTTGTGTTGTGTCTAATTTTGGTCCTACCTTCTTTTTGATCAATCGTTTAGCTATTTTCTTTTGTATTGGCTTACCTTCTTCTTGTGTAAGTTCTTCTATGGCTGCTTCCTCAGGAAGCTCTATAATCTGTTCTTTTTCGGGTGCTTCTTCCTTATCAGACGGAGCTTCTTCAGTGACCGAAACTGTGGTGACTAATTCTTCGCCATCTTTCTCGACCCTTGTGATATCCGTAACTTCTTGCTTAGGTACTTGTCGCTTTTTAATCACCCGTTTCACAGTCTTAACTTTCTCTAACTCCCCAGTTACCGTCTGCACCTGATCAACTTTAACTTCTTCAGGTTCATCCTCGACTACCCTAGCTTTATGTAGTTCGAGTATGTCATCGAATGGTATAGTATTGTCGTCAAATGTTTCCTCTATTTTGTGTATCGTAATGACTGGTTGTTCGTCGTTTTGTTGTGTTGTGATTATTTGGGTTGTTTCTAATTTTGGTCCTACCTTCTTTTTAATAACGCGCTTAGTTATTTTCTTCTGTTTGGGCTTACCTTCTTCACTAGGGATTTCTTCTATGACAGTCTCCTCGGGAAGCTTTACAGCCTGAACTATTTTAGGTTCTTCTTTCTTATCAGACGGAGCTTCTTCAGTGACCGAAACTGTGGTGACTGGTTCTTCGCCCTCTTTATCGACTGTTGTTATCTCCGTGATCTCTTGCTTAGGTCCTTGTCGCTTTTTGATCACCCGTTTGACAGTCTTACCTTTAATTACCTCCCCAGTTTCCGTCTGCACCTGATCAACTTTTACTTCTTTAGGTTCTTCCTCGACTACCTTTGCTTTATGTAGTTCGAATTCGTCATCAAATGGTGTAGTATTGTCGTCAAATGTTTCCTCTGTTTTGTGTATTGTAATGACTGGTTGTTCGTCGTCTTGTTGTGTTGTGATTATTTGTGTTGTTTCTAACTTTGATCCTACCTTATTTTTAATAACGCGCTTAGTTATTTTCTTCTGTTTGGGCTTACCTTCTTCACTAGGGATTTCTTCTATGGAAGTCTCCTCAGGAAGCTCTAAGGCCTGGAATATTTCGGGTGCTTCTTCTTTATCAGACGGAGCTTCTTCAGTGACGGAAACTGTGGTGACTGGTTCTTCGCCTTCTTTCTCGACCGTTGTTATCTCAGTGACCTCTCGCTTAGGTCCTTGTCGCTTTTTGATCACCTGTTTGACAGTCTTAACTTTCTTTACCTCCCCAGTTTCCGTCTGCACCTGATCAACTTTAACTTCTTCAGGTTCTTCCTCGACTACCTTAGCTTTGTGTAATTCAAGTACGTCATCGAATGGTGTAGTATTTTCTTCAAATGTTTCCTCTGTTTTGTGTATTGTAATGACTGGTTTTTCGTCGTCTTGTTGTGTTGTGATTGTATGTGTTGTTTCTAAATTTGGACCTACCTTCTTTTTAATCAATCGTCTAGTTATTTTCTTTTGTATTGGCTTACCTTCTTCATGTGAAAGTTCTTCTATGGTTGTTTCCTCGGGAAGCTCTTTAATCTGTTCTGATTTGGGTGCTTCTTCTTTATCAGACGGAGCTTCTTCAGTGACCGAAATTATGGTAACTGGTTCATCGCCGTCTTTCTCGCCCGTTGCTATCTCCATGACCTCTTGTTTAGGTACTTGTCGCTCCTTGATCACCCGTTTGACTGTCTTAACTTTCTTTACCACCCCAGTTGCCGTCTGAACCTGATCAACTTTAACTTCTTCAGGTTCTTCCTCGACTACCTTAGCTTTAAATATTTCGAGTACATCACCGAATGGTGTAGTATTGTCGTCAAAAGTTTCCTCTGTCTTGTGTATTGTAATGACAGGTTGTTCGTCGTCTTGTTGTGTTGTGGTTATTTGTGTTGTTTCTAATTGAGGTCCTACCTTATTTTTAATAACGTGCTTACTTATTTTCTTCTGTTTGGGCTTACCTTCTTCACTAGGGATTTCTTCTATGGAAGTCTCCTCGGGAAGCTCTACAGCCTTAACTTTTTCGGGTGCTTCTTCTTTATCAGACGGAGCTTCTTCAGTGACCAAAACTGTGGTGACTGGTTCTTCGCCTTCTTTTTCGACCGTTGTTATCTCAGTGACCTCTTGCTTAGGTCCTTGTCGCTTTTTGATCACCTGTTTGACAGTCTTAACTTTCTTTACCTCCCCAGTTTCCGTCTGACCCTGATCAACTTTAACTTCTTCAGGTTCTTCCTCGACTACCTTAGCTTTATGTAGTTCGAGTACGTCATCGAATGGTGTAGTATTGTCGTCAAATGTTTCCTCTGTTTTGTGTATTGTAATGACTGGTTGTTCGTCGTATTGTTGTGTTGTGATTATTTGTGTTGTTTCCAATTTTGGTCCTACCTTATTTCTAATAACGCGCTTAGTTATTTTTTTCTGTTTGGGCTTACCTTCTTTACTAGGGATTTCCTCTATGGAAGTCTCCTCGGGAAGCTCTACAGCCTCAACTTTTTCGGGTGCTTCTTCCTTATCAGACGGAGCTTCTTCAGTTTAATCGAAACTGTGGTGTCCAGTTCTTCGCCTTCTTTCTCGACGGTTGTTATATCCGTGACCTCCTGCCTAGGCCCTTCTCGCTTTCTGATCACCCGTTTGACGGTCTTAACTTTCTTTATCTCCCCAGTTTCCGTCTGCACCTGATCAACTTTAACTTCTTCAGGTTCTTCCTCGACAACCTTAGCTTTATGTAGTTCGAGTACGTGATCGAATGGTGTAGTATTGTCGTCAAATGTTTCCTCAGTTTTGTGTATTGTAATGACTGGTTGTTCGTCTTCTTGTTGTGTAGTAATTATTTGTGTTGTTTCTAATTTTTGTCCTACCTTCTTTTTAATAACGCGCTCAGTTATTTTCTTCTGTTTGGGCTTACCTTCTTCACTAGGGATTTCTTCTATGGAAATCTCCTCGGGAAGCTCTACAGCCTTAACTTTTTCGGGTGCTTCTTCCTTATCAGACGAAGCTTCTTCAGTGATCAAAACCGTGGTGTCCGGTTTTTCGCCTTCTTTCTCGATCGTTGTTATCTCCGTGACCTCCTGCTTAGGCCCATCTCGCTTTCTGATCACCCGTTTGACGGTCTTAACTTTCTTTATCTCCCCAGTTTCCGTCTGCACCTGATCAACTTTAACTTCTTTAGGTTCTTCCTCGACAACCTTAGCTTTATGTAGTTCGAGTACGTGATCGAATGGTGTAGTATTGTCGTCAAATTTTTCCTCTGTTTTGTGTATTGTAATGACTGGATGTTCGTCGTCTTGTTGTGTTGTGATTATTTGTGTTGTTTCTAGTTTTGGTCCTACCTTATTTTTAATAACGCGCTTAGTTATTTTTTTCTGTTTGGGCTTACCTTCTTCACTAGGGATTTCTTCTATGGAAGTCTCCTCGGGAAGCTCTACAGCCTTAACTTTTTCGGGTGCTTCTTCCTTATCAGACGGAGCTTCTTCAGTGATCGAAACTGTGGTGTCCGGTTTTTCGCCTTCTTTCTCGACCGTTGTTATGTCCATGACCACCTGCTTAGGCCCTTCTCGCTTTCTGATCACCCGTTTGACGGTCTTAACTTTCTTTATCTCCCCAGTTTCCGTCTGCACCTGATGAACTTTAACTTCTTCAGGTTCTTCCTCGACAACCTTAGCTTTATGTAGTTCGAGTACGTGATCGAATGGTGTAGTGTTGTCGTCAAATGTTTCCTCTGTTTTGTGTATTGTAATGACTGGTTGTTCGTCGTCTTGTTGTGTTGTGATTATTTGTGTTGTGTCTAGTTTTGGTCCTACCTTCTTTTTAATAACGCACTTAGATATTTTCTTCTGTTTGGGCTTACCTTCTTCACTAGGGATTTCTTCTATGGAAGTTTCCTCGGGAAGCTCTACACTCTGAACTTTTTCGGGTGCTTGTTTCTTATCAGACGGAGCTTCTTGTTTAATCGAAACTGTTGTGACTGGTTCTTCGCCTTCTTTCTCGACGGTTGTTATCTCCGTGACTTCTTGCTTAGGTCCTTGTAGCTTTTTGATCACCCGTTTTACAGTCCTAACTTTCTTTACCTCCCCAGTTTCCGTCTGCACATGATCAACTTTGACTTCTTCAGGTTCATCCTCGACTACCTTAGCTTTATGTAGTTCGAGTACGTCATCGAATGGTGTAGTATTGTCGTCAAATGTTTCCTCTGTTTTGTGTATTGTAATGAATGGTTGTTCGTCGTCTTGTTGTGTTGTGATTATTTGTGTTGTTTCTAGTTTTGGTCCTACCTTATTTTTAATAACGCGCTTAGTTATTTTTTTCTGTTTGGGCTTACCTTCTTCACTAGGGATTTCTTCTATGGAAGTCTCCTCGGGAAGCTCTACAGCCTTAACTTTTTCGGGTGCTTCTTCCTTATCAGACGGAGCTTCTTCAGTGATCGAAACTGTGGTGTCCGGTTTTTCGCCTTCTTTCTCGACCGTTGTTATGTCCGTGACCTCCTGCTTAGGCCCTTCTCGCTTTCTGATCACCCGTTTGACGGTCTTAACTTTCTTTATCTCCCCAGTTTCCGTCTGCACCTGATCAACTTTAACTTCTTCAGGTTCTTCCTCGACAACCTTAGCTTTATGTAGTTCGAGTACGTGATCGAATGGTGTAGTATTGTCGTCAAATGTTTCCTCTGTTTTGTGTATTGTAATGACTGGTTGTTCGTCGTCTTGTTGTGTTGTGATTATTTGTGTTGTTTCTAGTTTTGGTCCTACCTTATTTTTAATAACGCGCTTAGTTATTTTTTTCTGTTTGGGCTTACCTTCTTCACTAGGTATTTCTTCTATGGAAGTCTCCTCGGGAAGCTCTAAAGTTTGAACTTTTTCGGGTGCTTCTTCCTTATCAGACGGAGCTTCTTCAGTGATCGAAACTGTGGTGTCCGGTTTTTCGCCTTTTTTCTCGACCGTTGTTATGTCCGTGACCTCCTGCTTAGGCCCTTCTCGCTTTCTGATCACCCGTTTGACGGTCTTAACTTTCTTTATCTCCCCAGTTTCCGTCTGCACCTGATCAACTTTAACTTCTTCAGGTTCTTCCTCGACAACCTTAGCTTTATGTAGTTCGAGTACGTGATCGAATGGTGTAGTGTTGTCGTCAAATGTTTCCTCTGTTTTGTGTATTGTAATGACTGGTTGTTCGTCGTCTTGTTGGGTTGTGATTAATTGTGTTGTTTCTAATTTTGGTCCTACCTTCTTTTTAATAACGCGCTTAGTTATTTTCTTCTGTTTGGGCTTACCTTCTTCACTAGGAATTTCTTCTATGGAAGTCTCCTCGGGAAACTCTACAGCCTGAACTTTTTCTGTGTCTTGTTCCTTATCAGACGGAGATTCTTGTTTGATCGAAACTGTGGTGACTGGTTCTTCGCCTTCTTTTTCGACGGTTGTTATCTCCGTGACCTCTTGCTTAGGTCCTTGTCGCTTTTTGATTACCCGTTTCACAGTCTTAACTTTCTTTACTTCCCCATTTTCCGTCTGCACCTGATCAACTTCAACTTTTTCAGGTTCTACCTTGACTACCTTAGCTTTATGTAGTTCGAGTACGTGATCTAATGGTGTAGTATTGTCGTCAAATGTTTCCTCTGTTTTGTGAATTGTAATGACTGGTTGTTCGTCGTCTTGTTGTGTTGTGATTATTTGTGTTGTTTCTAATTTTGGTCCTATCTTCTTTTTAATAACGCGCTTAGTTATTTTCTTCTGTTTGGGCTTACCTTCTTCACTAGGGATTTCTTCTATTGATGTTTCCTCGGGAAGCTCTATAACCTGTTCTTTTTCAGGTGCTTCTTCTTTATCAGACGGAGCTATTTCAGTGACGGAAACTATGGTGACTGGTTCTTCGGCTTCTTTCTCGACGGTTGTTATCTCCGTGACCTCTTGCTTAGGTCCTTGTCGCTTTTTGATAACCCGTTTCACAGTCTTAACTTTCTTTATCTCCCCATTTTCCGTCTGCACCTGATCAACTTTAACTTCTTCAGGTTCCTCCTCGACTACCTTAGCTTTATGTAGTTCGAGTACGTGATCGAATGGTGTAGTATTGTCGTCAAATGTTTCCTCAGTTTTGTGTATTGTAATGACTGGTTGTTCGTCTTCTTGTTGTGTAGTGATTATTTGTGTTGTTTCTAATTTTTGTCCTTCCTTCTTTTTAATAACGCGCTTAGTTATTTTCTTCTGTTTGGGCTTACCTTCTTCACTAGGCATTTCTTCTATGGAAGTCTCCTCGGGAAGCTCTATAACCTGTTCTTTTTCAGGTGCTTCTTCTTTATCAGACGGAGCTACTTCAGTGACGGAAACTGTGGTGACGGGTTCTTCGCCTTCTTTCTCGACGGTTGTTATCTCCGTGACCTCTAGCTTTGGTCCTTGTCGCTTTTTGATCACCCGTTTCACAGTCTTAACTTTCTTAACTTCCCCATTTTCCGTCGGAACCTGATCAACTTTAACTTCTTCAGGTTCTTCTTCGACTACCTTAGCTTTATATAGTTCGAGTACGTGATCGAATGGTGTAGTATTGTCGTCAAATGTTTCCTCTGTTTTGTGTATTGTAATGACTGGTTGTTCGTCGTCTTGTTGTGTTGTGATTATTTGTGTTGTTTCTAATTTTGGTCCTACCTTCTTTTTAATAACGCGCTTAGTTATTTTCTTCTGTTTGGGCTTACCTTCCTCACTAGGGATTTCTTCTATTGATATCTCCTCGGGAAGCTCTATAACCTGTTCTTTTTCAGGTGCTTCTTCTTTATCAGACGGAGCTACTTCAGTGACGGAAACTATGGTGACTGGTTCTTCGCCTTCTTTCTCGACGGTTGTTATCTCCGTGACCTCTTGCTTAGGTCCTTGTCGCTTTTTGATCACCCGTTTGACAGTTTTTACTTTCTTTATCTCCCCAGTTTCCGTCTGCACCTGATCAACTTTAACTTCTTCAGGTTCTTCCTCGACAACCTTAGCTTCATTTAGTTCGAGTACGTGATCGAATGGTGTAGTGTTGTCGTCAAATGTTTCCTCTGTTTTGTGTATTGTAATGACTGGTTGCTCGTCGTCTTGTTGTGTTGTGATTATTTGTGTGGTTTCTAGTTTTGGTCCTACCTTCTTTTTAATAACGCGCTTAGATATTTTCTTCTGTTTCGGCTTACCTTCTTCACTAGGGATTTCTTCTATTGAAGTCTCCTCGGGAAGCTCTATAACCTGAACTTTTTCGGGTGCTAGTTCTTCAATATCAGACGGCACTTCTTCAGTGACGAAAACTGTGGTGACTGGTTCTTCGCCTTCTTTTTCGACCGTTGCTATCTCCGTGACCTCTTGCTTAGGTCCTTGTCGCTTTTTGATCACCCGTTTCACAGTCTTAACTTTCTTAACTTCCCCATTTTCAGTCGGAACCTGATCAACTTTTACTTCTTCAGGTTCTTCCTCGACTACCTTAGCTTCATGTAGTTCGAGTACGTCATCGAATGGTGTAGTACTGTCGTCAAATGTTTCCTCGGTTTTGTGTATTGTAATGACTGGTTGCTCGTCGTCTTTTTGTGTTGTAATTATTTGAGTGGTTTCTAATTTTGGTCCTACCTTCTTTTTAATAACGCGCTTAGTTATTTTCTTCTGTTTGGGCTTACCTTCTTCACTAGTGATTTCTTCTATTGATGTCTCCTCGGGAAGCTCTATAACCTGTTCTTTTTCGGGTGCTTCTTCTTTGCCAGATGGAGCTTCTTCAGTGACTGAAACTGTGGTGACTGGTTCTTCGCCTTCTTTCTCGACCGTTGTTATCTCCGTAACCTCTTGCTTAGGTCCTTGTCGCTTTTTGATCACCCGCCTGACAGTCTTAACTTTCTTTACCTCCCCAGTTTCTGTCTGCACCTGATCAACTTTAACTTCTTCAGGTTCCTCCTCGACAACCTTTGCTTTATGTAGTTCGAGTATGTCATCGAATGGTGTAGTATTGTCATCAAATGTTTCCTCTGTATTGTGTATTGTAATGACTGGTTGTTCGTCGTCTTGTTGTGTTGTGATTATTTGTGTTGTTTCTAATTTTGGTCCTACCTTCTTTTTAATAACGCGCTTAGATATTTTCTTCTGTTTCGGCTTACCTTCTTCACTAGGGATTTCTTCTATGGAAGTCTCCTCGGGAAACTCTACGGCCTGAACTTTTTCGGGAGCTTCTTCCTTATCAGACGGAGCTTCTTCAGTGATCGAAACTGTGGTGACTGGTTCTTCGCCGTCTTTCTCGACCGTTGTTATCTCCGTGACCTCTTGCTTAGGTCCTTGTCGCTTTTTGATCACCCGTTTGACAGTTTTTACTTTCTTTACCTCCCCAGTTTCCGTCTGCACCTGATCAACTTTAACTTCTTCAGGTTCTTCCTTGACTATCTTAGCTTTATGTAGTTCGAGTACGTCATCGAATGGTGTTGTACTTTCGTCAAATATTTCCTCTGTTTTGTGTATTGTAATGACTGGTTGCTCGTCGTCTTTTTGTGTTGTAATTATTTGTGTTGTTTCTAATTTTGGTCCTTCCTTCTTTTTAATAACGCGCTTAGATATTTTCTTCTGTTTGGGCTTACCTTCTTCACCAGGGATTTCTTCTATGTAAGTCTCCTCGGGAAGCTCTACAGCCTGAACTTTTTCGGGTACTTCTTCCATATCAGACAGAGCTTCTTCAGTGACCGAAACTGTGGTGACTGGTTCTTCGCCTTCTTTTTCAACGGTTGTTATCTCCGTGACCTCTTGTTTAGGTCCTTGTCGCTTTTTGATCACCCGTTTGACAGTCTTAACTTTCTTTAACTCCCCAGTTTCAGTCTGCACCTGATCAACTTTAACTTTTTCAGGTTCTTCTTCGACTACCTTAGCTTCATGTAGTTCGAGTACGTCATCGAATGGTGTGGTACTGTCGTCAAATGTTTCCTCTGTTTTGTGTATTGTAATGACTGGTTGTTCGTCGTCTTGTTGTGTTGTGATTATTTGTGTTGTTTCTAATTTTGGTCCTACCTTCTTTTTAATAACGCGCTTAGATATTTTCTTCTGTTTGGGCTTACCTTCTTCACCAGGGATTTCTTCTATGGAAGTCTCCTCGGGAAACTCTACAGCCTGAACTTTTTCGGGTGCTTCTTCAATATCAGACGGAGCTTCTTCAGTGACCAAAACTGTGGTGACTGGTTCTTCGCCGTCTTTTTCAACGGTTGTTATCTCCGTGACCTCTTGTTTAGGTCCTTGTCGCTTTTTGATTACCCGCTTGACAGTCTTAACTTTCTTTAACTCCCCAGTTTCAGTCTGCACCTGATCAACTTTAACTTTTTCAGGTTCCTCATCGACTACCTTAGCTTTATGTAGTTCGAGTACGTCATCGAATGGTGTGGTACTGTCATCAAATGTTTCCTCTGTATTGTGTATTGTAATGACTGGTTGTTCGTCGTCTTGTTGTGTTGTGATTATTTGTGTTGTTTCTAATTTTGGTCCTACCTTCTTTTTAATAACGCGCTTAGATATTTTCTTCTGTTTGGGCTTACCTTCTTCACCAGGGATTTCTTCTATGGAAGTCTCCTCGGGAAACTCTACAGCCTGAACTTTTTCGGGTACTTCTTCAATATCAGACGGAGCTTCTTCAGTGACCAAAACTGTGGTGACTGGTTCTTCGCCTTCTTTTTCGACGGCGTTATCTCCGTGACCTCTTGTTTAGGTCCTTGTCGCTTTTTGATTACCCGTTTCACAGTCTTAACTTTCTTTAACTCCCCAGTTTCAGTCTGCACGTGATCAACTTTAACTTTTTCAGGTTCTTCCTCGACTACCTTAGCTTCATGTAGTTCGAGTACGTCATCGAATGGTGTGGTACTGTCGTCAAATGTTTCCTCTGTTTTGTGTATTGTAATGACTGGTTGCTCGTCGCCTTTTTGTGTTGTAATTATTTGAGTGGTTTCTAATTTTGGTCCTACCTTCTTTTTAATAACGCGCTTAGTTATTTTCTTCTGTTTGGGCTTACCTTCTTCACTAGGGATTTCTTCTATGGAAGTCTCCTCGGGAAACTCTACAGCCTGTAATTTTTCGGGTGCTTCTTCAATATCAGACGGAGCTTCTTCAGTGACCAAAACTGTGGTGACTGGTTCTTCGCCTTCTTTTTCGACCGTTGTTATCTCCGTTACCTCCTGCTTAGGTCCTTGTCGCTTTTTGATTACCCGTTTTACAATTATAACTTTCTTTAACTCCCCAGTTTCAGTCTGTACGTGATCAACTTTAACTTCTTCAGGTTCTTCCTCGACTACCTTAGCTTCATGTAGTTCGAGTACGTCATCGAATGGTGTAGTACTGTCGTCAAATGTTTCCTCGGTTTTGTGTATTGTAATGACTGGTTGCTCGTCGTCTTTTTGTGTTGTAATTATTTGAGTGGTTTCTAATTTTGGTCCTACCTTCTTTTTAATAACGCGCTTAATTATTTTCTTCTGTTTCGGCTTACCTTCTTCACTAGTGATTTCTTCTATTGATGTCTCCTCGGGAAGCTCTATAACCTTTTCTTCTTCGGGTGCTTCTTCTTTATTAGACAGAGCTTCTTCAGTGACGGAAATTGTGGTGACTGGTTCTTCACCTTCTTTTTCGACCGTTGCTATCTCCGTGACCTCTTGCTTAGGTCCTTGTCGCTTTTTGATCACCCGTTTCACAGTCTTAACTTTCTTAACCTCCCCACTTTCAGTCTGTACCTGATCAACTTTTACTTCTTCAAGTTCTTCCTTGACTACCTTAGCTTCATGTAGTTCGAGTACGTCATCGAATGGTGTAGTACTGTCGTCAAATGTTTCCTCGGTTTTGTCTATTGTAATGACTGGTTTCTCGTCGTCTTTTTGTGTTGTAATTATTTGTGTGGTGTGTAATTTTGGTCCTACCTTCTTTTTAATAACGCGCTTAGTTATTTTCTTCTGTTTGGGCTTACCTTCTTCACTAGTGATTTCTTCTATTGATGTCTCCTCGGGAAGTTCTATAACCTGTTCTTTTTCGGGTGCTTCTTCTTTATCAGACGGAGCTTCTTCAGTGACTGAAACTGTGGTGACTGGTTCTTCGCCTTCTTTCTCGACCGTTGTTATCTCCGTGACCTCTTGCTTAGGTCCTTGTCGCTTTTTGATCACCCTTTTCACAGTCTTAACTTTCTTAACCTCCCCACTTTCAGTCTGTACCTGATCAACTTTTACTTCTTCAGGTTCTTCCTTGACTACCTTAGCTTTATGTAGTTCGAGTACGTCATCGAATGGTGTAGTACTGTCGTCAAATGTTTCCTCGGTTTTGTGTATTGTAATGACTGGTTTCTCGTCGTCTTTTTGTGTTGTAATTATTTGTGTGGTTTCTAATTTTGGTCCTACCTTCTTTTTAATAACGCGCTTAGTTATTATCTTCTGTTTGGGCTTACCTTCTTCACTAGTTATTTCTTCTATTGATGTCTCCTCGGGAAGCTCTATAACCTGTTCTTTTTCGGGTGCTTCTTCTTTGTCAGACGGAGCTTCTTCAGTGACTGAAACTGTGGTAACTGGTTCTTCGCCTTCTTTCTCGACCGTTGTTATCTCCGTGACCTCTTGCTTAGGTCCTTGTCGCTTTTTGATCACCCTTTTCACAGTCTTAACTTTCTTTATCTCCCCAGTTTCCGTCTGCACCTGATCAACTTTAACTTCTTCAGGTTCCTCCTCGACAACCTTAGCCTTATGTAGTTCGAGTATGTCATCGAATGGTGTAGTATTGTCGTCAAATGTTTCCTCTGTATTGTGTATTGTAATGACTTGTTGTTCGACGTCTTGTTGTGTTGTGATTATTTGTGTTGTTTCTAATTTTGGTCCTACCTTCTTTTTAATAATGCGATTAGATATTTTCTTCTGTTTGGGCTTACCTTCTTCACTAGGGATTTCTTCTATGGAAGTCTCCTCGGGAAACTCTACAGCCTGAACTTTTTCGGGTGCTTCTTCAGTGACCAAAACTGTGGTGACTGGTTCTTCGCCTTCTTTTTCGATCGTTGTTATCTCCGTGACCTCTTGCTTAGGTCCTTGTCGCTTTTTGATTAGCCGTTTCACAGTTTTAACTTTCTTTAACTCCCCAGTTTCAGTCTGTACGTGATCAACTTTAACTTCTTCAGGTTCTTCCTCGACTACCTTAGCTTCATGTAGTTCGAGTACGTCATCGAATGGTGTAGTACTGTCGTCAAATGTTTCCTCGGTTTTGTGTATTGTAATGACTGGTTGCTCGTCGTCTTTTTGTGTTGTAATTATTTGAGTGGTTTCTAATTTTGGTCCTACCTTCTTTTTAATAACGCGCTTAGTTATTTTCTTCTGTTTGGGCTTACCTTCTTCACTAGGGATTTCTTCTATGGAAGTCTCCTCGGGAAACTCTACAGCCTGAACTTTTTCGGGTGCTTCTTCAATATCAGACGGAGCTTCTTCAGTGACCAAAACTGTGGTGACTGGTTCTTCGCCTTCTTTTTCGACCGTTGTTATCTCCGTGACCTCTTGCTTAGGTCCTTGTCGCTTTTTGATTACCCGTTTCACAGTCTTAACTTTCTTTACCTCCCCAGTTTCAGTCTGTACGTGATCAACTTTAACTTCTTCAGGTTCTTCCTCGACTACCTTAGCTTCATGTATTTCGAGTATGTCATCGAATGGTGTAGTACTGTCGTCAAATGTTTCCTCGGTTTTGTGTATTGTAATGACTGGTTGCTCGTCATCTTTTTGTGTTGTGATTATTTGTGTGGTTTCTAATTTTGGTCCTACCTTCTTTTTAATAACGCGCTTAGTTATTTTCTTCTGTGTGAGCTTACCTTCTTCACTAGGGATTTCTTCTATAGATATCTCCTCGGGAAGCTCTATAACCTGTTCTTTTTCGGGTGCTTCTTCTATATCAGACGGAGCTTCTTCAGTGACTGAAACTGTGGTGACTGGTTCTTCGCCTTCTTTCTCGACCGTTGTTATCTCCGTGACCTCTTGCTTAGGCCCTTGTCGCTTTTTGATCATCCTTTTCACAGTCTTGACTTTCTTAACCTCCCCAGTTTCAGTCTGTACCTGATCAACTTTTACTTCTTCAGGTTCTTCCTCGACTACCTTAGCTTCATGTAGTTCGAGTACGTCATCGAATGGTGTAGTACTGTCGTCAAATGTTTCCTCGGTTTTGTGTATTGTAATGACTGGTTGCTCGTCGTCTTTTTGTGTTGTAATTATTTGTGTGGTTTCTAATTTTGGTCCTACCTTCTTTTTAATAACGCGCTTAGTTATTTTCTTCTGTTTGGGCTTACCTTCTTCACTAGGGATTTCTTCTATAAATGTCTCCTCGGGAAGCTCTACAACCTGTTCTTTTTCGGGTGCTTCTTCAATATCAGACGGAGCTTCTTCAGTGACCAAAACTGTGGTGACTGGTTCTTCGCCTTCTTTTTCGACGGTTGTTATCACTGTGACCTCTTGCTTAGGTCCTTGTCGCTTTTTGATCACCCGTTTCACAGTCTTAACTTTCGTTACCTCCCCAGTTTCAGTCTGTACGTGATCAACTTTAACTTCTTCAGGTTCTTCCTCGACTAACTTAGCTTCATGTAGTTCGAGTATGTCATCGAATGGTGTAGTACTGTCGTCAAATGTTTCCTCGGTTTTGTGTATTGTAATGACTGGTTGCTCGTCGTCTTTTTGTGTTGTAATTATTTGTGTGGTTTCTAATTTTGGTCCTACCTTCTTTTTAATAACGCGCTTAGTTATTTTCTTCTGTTTGGGCTTACCTTCTTCACTAGTGATTTCTTCTATTGATGTCTCCTCGGGAAGCTCTATAACCTGTTCTTTTTCGGGTGCTTCTTCTTTATCAGACGGAGCTTCTTCAGTGACGGAAACTGTGGTGATTGGTTCTTCGCCTTCTTTCTCGACTGTTGTTATCTCTGTGACCTCTTGCTTAGGTCCTTGTCGCTTTTTGATCACCCGTTTCACAGTCTTAACTTTCTTTACCTCCCCAGTTTCAGTCTGTACCTGATCGACTTTTAGTTCTTCAGGTTCTTCCTCGACTATCTTAGCTTTATGTAGTTCGAGTACGTCATCGAATGGTGTAGTACTGTCGTCAAATGTTTCCTTGGTTTTGTGTATTGTAATGACTGGTTGCTCGTCGTCTTTTTGTGTTGTAATTATTTGTGTGGTTTCTAATTTTGGTCCTACCTTCTTTTTAATAACGCGCTTAGTTATTTTCTTCTGTTTGGGCTTACCTTCTTCACTAGGGATTTCTTCTATTGATGTCTCCTCGGGAAGCTCTATAACCTGTTCTTTTTCGGGTGATTCTTCTTTATCAGATGGAGCTTCTTCAGTGACGGAAACTGTGGTGACTGGTTCTTCGCCTTCTTTCTCGACCGTTGTTATCACCGTGACCTCTTGCTTAGGTCCTTGTCGCTTTTTGATCACCCGTTTCACAGTCTTAACTTTCTTTACCTCCCCAGTTTCAGTCTGTACCTGATCGACTTTTAGTTCTTCAGGTTCTTCCTCGACTATCTTAGCTTTACTTGGTTCGAGTACGTCATCGAATGGTGTAGTACTGTCGTCAAATGTTTCCTCGGTTTTGTGTATTGTAATAACTGGTTGCTCGTCGTCTTTTTGTGTTGTAATAATTTGTGTGGTTTCTAATTTTGGTCCTACCTTCTTTTTAATAATGCGCTTAGTTATTTTCTTCTGTTTGAGCTTACCTTCTTCACTAGGGATTTCTTCTATTGATGTCTCCTCGGGAAGCTCTATAACCTGTTCTTTTTCGGGTGATTCTTCTTTATCAGATGGAGCTTCTTCAGTGACGGAAACTGTGGTGACTGGTTCTTCGCCTTCTTTCTCGACCGTTGTTATCACTGTGACCTCTTGCTTAGGTCCTTGTCGCTTTTTGATCACCCGTTTCACAGTCTTAACTTTCTTTACCTCCCCAGTTTCAGTCTGTACCTGATCGACTTTTAGTTCTTCAGGTTCTTCCTCGACTATCTTAGCTTTATGTAGTTCGAGTACGTCATCGAATGGTGTAGTACTGTCGTCAAATGTTTCCTCGGTTTTGTGTATTGTAATAACTGGTTGCTCGTCGTCTTTTTGTGTTGTAATTATTTGTGTGGTTTCTAATTTTGGTCCTACCTTCTTTTTAATAATGCGCTTAGTTATTTTCTTCTGTTTGGGCTTACCTTCTTCACTAGGGATTTCTTCTATCGAAGTCTCCTCGGGAAGCTCAACAGCCTGAACTTTTTCGGGTGCTTCTTCCTCATCGGACGGAGCTTTTTCAGTGACGGAAACTGTGGTGACTGGTTCTTCGCCTTCTTTCTCGACTGTTGTTATCTCCGTGACCTCTTGCTTAGGTCCTTGTCGCTTTTTGATCACCCTTTTCACAGTCTTAACTTTCTTTACCTCCCCAGTTTCAGTCTGTACCTGATCGACTTTTAGTTCTTCAGGTTCTTCCTCGACTATCTTAGCTTTATGTAGTTCGAGTACGTCATCGAATGGTGTAGTACTGTCGTCAAATGTTTCCTCGGTTTTGTGTATTGTAATGACTGGTTGCTCGTCGTCTTTTTGTGTTGTAATTATTTGTGTGGTTTCTAATTTTGGTCCTACCTTCTTTTTAATAATGCGCTTAGTTATTTTCTTCTGTTTGGGCTTACCTTCTTCACTAGGGATTTCTTCTATGTATGTCTCCTCGGGAAGCTCTAATACCTGTTCTTTTTCGGGTGCTTCTTCTTTATCAGACGGAGCTTCTTCAGTGACGGAAACTGTGGTGACTGGTTCTTCGCCTTCTTTCTCGACCGTTGTTATCTCTGTGACCTCTTGCTTAGGTCCTTGTCGCTTTTTGATCACCCGTTTCACAGTCTTAACTTTCTTTACCTCCCCAGTTTCAGTCGTTACCTGATCAACTTTTACTTCTTCAGGTTCTTCCTCGACTATCTTAGCTTTATGTAGTTTGAGTACGTCATCGAATGGTGTAGTACTGTTGTCAAATATTTCCTCGGTTTTGTGTATTGTAATGACTGGTTGCTCGTCGTCTTTTTGTGTTGTAATTATTTGTGTTGTTTCTAATTTTGGTCCTACCTTCTTTTTAATAACGCGCTTACTTATTTTCTTCTGTTTGGGCTTACTTTCTTCAGTAGGAATTTCTTCTATGGAAGTTTCCTCTGGAAGCTCTACGGCCTGAACTTTTTCGGGAGCTTCTTCCTTATCAGACGGAGCTTCTTCAGTGATCGAAACTGTGGTGACTGGTTCTTCGCCGTCTTTCTCGACCGTTGTTATCTCCGTGACCTCTTGCTTAGGTCCTTGTCGCTTTTTGATCACCCGTTTGACAGTTTTTACTTTCTTTACCTCCCCAGTTTCCGTCTGCACCTGATCAACTTTAACTTCTTCAGGTTCTTCCTTGACTACCTTAGCTTTATGTAGTTCGAGTACGTCATCGAATGGTTTTGTACTTTCGTCAAATGTTTCCTCTGTTTTGTTTATTGTAATGACTGGTTGCTCGTCGTCTTTTTGTGTTGTAATTATTTGTGTGGTTTCCAATTTTGGTCCTTCCTTCTTTTTAATAACGCGCTTAGTTATTTTCTTCTGTTTTGTCTTACCTTCTTCACTAGGGATATCTTCTATGTAAGTCTCCTCGGGAAGCTCTACAGCCTGGAATATTTCGGGTACTTCTTCCTTATCAGATAGAGCTTCTTCAGTGACCGAAACTGTGGTGACTGGTTCTTCGCCGTCTGTTTCAACCGTTGTTATCTCCGTGACCTCTTGCTTAGGTCCTTGTCGCTTTTTGATCACCCGCCTGACAGTCTTAACTTTCTTTACCTCCCCAGTTTCTGTCTGCACCTGATCAACTTTAACTTCTTCAGGTTCCTCCTCGACTACCTTAGCTTTATGTAGTTCGAGTACGTCATCGAATGGTGTAGTACTGTCGTCAAATGTTTCCTCGGTTTTGTGTATTGTAATAACTGGTTGTTCATCATCTTGTTGTGTTGTGACTATTTGTGTGGTTTCTAATTTTGCTCCTACCTTCTTTTTAATAACGCGCTTAGTTATTTTCTTCTGTTTGGGCTTACCTTCTTCACTAGGGATTTCTTCTATCGAAGTCTCCTTGGGAAGCTCAACAGCCTGAACTTTTTCGGGTGCTTCTTCCTTATCAGATGGAGCTTCTTCAGTGACGGAAACTGTGGTGACTGGTTCTTCGCCTCCTTTCTCGACTGCTTTTATCCCCGTGACCTCTTGCTTATGTTCTTGTCGCTTTTTGATCACCCTTTTCACAGTCTTAACTTTCTTAACCTCTCCAGTTTCAATCTGTACCTGATCAACTTTTACTTCTTCAGGTTCTTGCTCGACTACCTTAGCTTTATGTAGTTCGAGTACGTCATCGAATGGTGTAGTACTGTCGTCAAATGTTTCCTCGGTTTTATGTATTGTAATGACTGGTTTCTCGTCGTCTTTTTGTGTTGTAATTATTTGTGTGGTTTCTAATTTTGGTCCTACCTTCTTTTTAATAACGCGCTTTGTTATTTTCTTCTGTTTGGGCTTACCTTGTTCACTAGGGATTTCTTCTATTGATGTCTCCTCGGGAAGCTCTATAACATGTTCTCTTTCAGGAGCTTCTTCCTTATCAGACGGAGCTTCTTCAGTGATCGAAACTGTGGTGACTGGTTCTTCGCCGTCTTTCTCGATCGTTGTTATCTCCGTGACCTCTTGCTTAGGTCCTTGTCGCTTTTTGATCACCCGTTTCACAGTCTTAACTTTCTTTACCTCCCCAGTTTCAGTCTGTACCTGTTCAACTTTTACTTCTTCAGGTTCTTCCTCGACTATCTTAGCTTTATGTAGTTCGAATACGTTATCGAATGGTGTAGTATTGTCGTTAAATGTTTCCTCGGTTTTGTGTATTGTAATAAATGGTTGTTCATCATCTTGTTGAGTTGTGATTATTTGTGTGGTTTCTAATTTTGGTCCTACCTTCTTTTTAATAACGCGCTTAGTTATTTTCTTCTGTTTGGGCTTACCTTCTTCACTTAGAATTTCTTCTATTGATGTCTCCTCGGGAAGCTCTATAACCTGTTCTTTTTCGGGTGCTTCTTCTTTATCAAACGGAGCTTCTTCAGTGACGGAAACTGTGGTGATTGGTTCTTCACCGTCTTTTTCAACCGTTGTTATCACCGTAACCTCTTGCTTAGGTCCTTGTCGCTTTTTGATCACCCTTTTCACTGTCCTAACTTTCTTTACCTCCCCAGTTTCCGTCTGCACCTGATCAACTTTAACTTCTTCAGGTTCTTCCTTGACTACCTTAGCTTTATGTAGTTCGAGTACCTCATCGAATGGTGTAGTACTGTCGTCAAATGTTTCCTCGGTTTTGTGTATTGTAATAACTGGTTGTTCATCATCTTGTTGAGTTTTGACTATTTGTGTGGTTTCTAATTTTGCTCCTACCTTCTTTTTAATAACGCGCTTAGTTATTTTCTTCTGTTTGGGCTTACCTTCTTCACTAGGGATTTCTTCTATCGAAGTCTCCTCGGGAAGCTCAACAGCCTGAACTTTTTCGGGTGCTTCTTCCTCATCGGACGGAGCTTTTTCAGTGACGGAAACTGTGGTAACTGGTTCTTCGCCTTCTTTCTCGACTGTTGTTATCTCCGTGACCTCTTGCTTAGGTCCTTGTCGCTTTTTGATCACCCTTTTCACAGTCTTAACTTTCTTTACCTCCCCAGTTTCAGTCTGTACCTGATCTACTTTTAGTTCTTCAGGTTCTTCCTCGACTATCTTAGCTTTATGTAGTTCGAGTACGTCATCGAATGGTGTAGTACTGTCGTCAAATGTTTCCTCGGTTTTGTGTATTGTAATGACTGGTTGCTCGTCGTCTTTTTGTGTTGTAATTATTTGTGTTGTTTCTAATTTTGGTTCCACCTTCTTTTTAATAACGCGTTTAGTTATTTTCTTCTGTTTGGGCTTACCTTCTTCACTAGGGATTTCTTCTATGGTAGTCTCTTCGGGAAGCTCAACAGCTTGAACTTTTTTGGTTGTGTCTTCTCTATCAGACGGTGTTTCTTCAGTGACCGAAACAGTTGTGACTGGTTCTTCACCTTCTCTGGCGATCGTAGTTATCTCTGTGACCTCTTGTTTTGGTCCTTGTCGCTTTTTGAACACCCGTTTAACCGTCTTAATTTTTTTTATCTCCCCAGTTTCCGTCTGTACTTCATCTATTTTCACTTCTTCAGGTGTTTCTTCGACTACTTTAGCCTTATGTGGTTCGACTAAATCGTCGAATGGTGTAAATGTTTCATCAAATGTTTCCTCTGTTTTGTGGATTGTTATGACTGGTTGTTCATTGTCTTGATGAGTTGTTATAATTTGTGTGGTTTCCAATTTTGGACCTACCTTCTTTTTAATAACTCGCTTAGTAATTTTCTTCTGTTTCGGCTTACCTTCTTCACTAGGTATTTCTTCGATAGTAGTCAGCTCGGGAAGCTCTACAACCTGAACTATTTCGGGTACCTCTTCTTTACCAGATGGAGTTTCTTCAGTAACCGAAACAGTTGTTACCGGTTCTAAACCCTCTTCCTCCACCGTTGTTATCTCTGTGACCTCCTGTTTAGGTCCGTGTTGTTTTTTGATTACCCGTTTGACCGTCTTAATTTTCTTTATCTCCCCAGTTTCCGTTTGCACTTCATCTATTTTCACTTCTTCAGGTTCTGCATCGACCACTGTAGCCTTTCGTGGTTCGACTAAATCGTCGAATAGTGTGGTTGTGTCATTAAATGTTTCATCAGATTTAAGAATGGTAACGACTGGTTGTTCATCATCTTGTTGAGTAGTGATGATTTGTGTAGTTTCCAATTTTGGACCTAATTTCTTTTTAATAACGCGCTTTGTAATTTTCTTCCGTTTTGGCTTACCGTCTTCACTGGGTATTTCTTCTATGGTCGTCTCCTCAGGAAGCCCTATGGCTTGACCATTTTCGGGTGCCTCTTCTCTATTAGACGCTGTTTTTTCAGTGACCGAAACAGTTGTTACCGGTTCTTCACCCTCTTTTTCGACCGTAGTTATCTCTGTGACCTCTTGCTTAGGTCCTTGTCGCTTTTTGATCACTCTTTTGATAGTCTTACATTTTTTAATCTCACCAGTTTCCGTCTGTACCTGATCAACTCGGACTTCTTCAGGTTCTTCCTCAACTACCTTAGCCTTATATGGTTCGACTATCTCGTCGAATGGTGTTACTTTTTCATCAAATGTTTCCTCAGTCTTGTGTATAGTAACGACTGGTTGTTCGTCATCTTGTTGGGATGTTATTATTTGTGTGGTTTCTAGTTTGTGACCTACTCTCTTTTTGATAATACGTTTAGTAATTTTCTTCTGCTTCGGCTTACCTTCTTCACTCTGTATTTCTTCAATCGTTGTCTCTTCGGGAAGCTCTACAGCCTGAACTTTTTCCGTTGCTTCTTCTTTATCAAACGGAGTTTCTTCGGTGACCGAAACAGTTTTGATTGGTTCTTCATCTTCTTTTACGACCGTTGTTATCTCCTTGACCCCTTGTTTAGTTCCTTGTTGCGTTTTGATTACTCGCTTGTCAGCCTTATCCTTCGTTATCTTTCCAGTTGCCGTCTGAACCTGATCAATTTTTACTCCTTCAGGTTCTTCCTCGACCACTGTAGCCTTTTGTAATTCGACTAAATCGTCGAATAGTGTAGTTGTGTCATTTAGTGTTTTATCAGTTTTGTTAATGGTAACAACTGGTTGTTCGTCATCTTGTTGAGTAGTGGTTATTTGTGTGGTTTCTAATTTGGAACCTTTCCTCTTTTTAATAATGCGTTCAGTAATTGTCTTTCGTTTTGGCTTACCTTCTTCACTAGATATTTCTTCTATTGTAGTCTCATCGGGAAGCTCTACAGCTTGATCTTTTTCAGGTGCCTCTTCTCTATCAGACGGTGATTCTTCAGTCACCGAAACAGTTGTTACCGGTTCTGCATCCTCTTTCTCGACCGTTGTTATCTCTGTGACCTCTTGTTTAGTTCCTTGTTTCTTTTTAATCACCCGCTGGACAGTCTTAACTATCTTTATCTCCCCAGTTTCCGCCTGGACTTCATCTATTTCTACTTCTTCAGGTTTTACCTCGACTTTTTTAGCCTTATGTGTTTCGACTAAATGGTCAAATGGTGTAAATGTTTCATCAAATGTTTCCTCTGTTTTGTGGATTGTAATGACTGGTTGTTCATTGTCTTGTTGAGTTGTTATAATTTGTGTGGTTTCCAATTTTGGACCTACCTTCTTTTTAATAACTCGCTTAGTAATTTTCTTCTGTTTCGGCTTACCTTCGTCACTAGGAATTTCTTCTATAGTAGTCTCTTCGGGAAGTTCTACAGCCTGAATTACTTCAGGTGCCTCTTCTTTACCAGATGGAGTTTCTTCAGTGACTGAAACAGTTGTTACCGTTTCTCCATTTTCCTTTTCGACCGTTTTTGTTTCTGATATATTTTGTTTATGTCCCTCGCTCTTTTTGATCACCTGCTTGACCTTCTTTATGTCCCTTGTTTCTATGTGCACCTGATTTTCTTCAGGTTCAATTACTTGAGCCTTATCTTTTTCCAGTTTTTCGTCAAATGGTGTGATTGTATCATTAAATGTTTCCTCTGTTTCTTGTATGATAACGACGTGTTTGTCATGGTCTTTTGGCGTTGTTTTTAGTTTTGATGTTTCTAGTTGTGTTTCCACCTTGTTTTTTACAACGCGCTTAGTAATTTTCTTCTGTTTAGGCTTTCTTTCTCTACTTTGATGTTCTTCTGTTGGAGTTTCCTCAGAAAGCTTTTCGATACTTTCTTGTTTGGTTCCCTCTTCTTTATCAGATGAAATGTCTTCACTTTGAACTTCTTCATTTATAACTTCTATGTGAGATTGTTTTGTTTTTTCAGTCGGTGTCAAAGTAATTAATTTATTTGCATCACCCTTAAAATCTTTACCCTTTTTCAGTACACTTTTTTCGGTTTCATTTTCTTCTTGGATTTCTTCTATTTGTACCTGTGAACGTAATTTTGGAATTTCGAATTGTTCTTCTGGCAGTTCTATGGTACTTTTGTCGTTATTGTTATTAAAATTAGTATCATCTCCTTCATATTCTTCAATCTGTACATTGTGCATTATTTCCTGATGTATTTCACCCCGGTTTTCGTCATCTAAAGTTTCTTCTATGACAATATCACCTTCGTTGAAATTATCGTTTTTCTCGGTTTTACGTTTTCTCAAAATTGTTCTTTTTGTTTTAATTTGTATTGGTTCTCTGTTGCCCGGCGCTTTAATAAACTTTGTTACTATTTCCTCACTTTCTTCTATGTCGGAACTTTTCGGAGAATCTTTTTTGACCACTGTTTTTTCTGAAAAATTGCATATAAAGTTTAGTTCCTTAAACCGTAATCCTATATGTGCTTAATTAGTAGTGTACATTCATTTGTGTAATTATGTTAAGTATTAATGTTTAGTGCTGGAATTCTTTTAAGTGACTTTAAAAATTGTTTTTTATACAAACTAATTCTTTGTCTAAACTTATAAGGTTTATGTAAATATCGTACCGTTACAGCTATTTTATCTTTATTAATACTAATTTGGTTTATCAATACTGGGAAAATATTAATATATTTATTTTAGCTGCGGAGTTATAAGACTGAATACCTTGCAATTGTCTAATCACTATATAATTATTATTATAAATGCTTTTTTTTGGGTGTTTTCATTTTTCCCTATCCTTTGCCTAATCAAATTCATTAAAATAGTAGTCTCATAAGACATTTTCTTTTTAATAACTCGGTTTATTAACTTAATTTAACTGAAAACTACTTACCCTGTATATGTACATCTGGTTGTGTAATAATAATGTTCTTGTATTCTGCGTCAGAAATTGTTAAATTCGTTTTTAGTGCCTTTGGATGTTTTTCGCTGTAAGGCATAATCTGTTCGTTCAGAATATCTTCACTCACTTCTAATTCTGAGGATATATTTAATATTTCTTTTAGTTTGTGTACTTCTGGCTCTTTTACATTTAATTGTGTTTCTGTTTGAAAACTTATCGTATCTGTGACCGTTAATGGTAACATATCCGTAGTTTTTATGTTTGTAATTTGAGACTGAGTTTGTGGTAAGTTTAACAAACCTGCCTGCATTTCGGAAAAATTTTCTGAACATTGTAAATGTGTCATCGTTGTCAAATTCCTTTCAGCTGTAACTGATTTGTGTAAACCTGGAATTAACGTTCCTTGTGTTTCATCTTGCACAACTTCATATACTTTAAGACCCTCACTTTCATATAAAGAACATGAAGCGGTTTCTTGTTTTATTAACTTTTCAAATGATTTGTCAATAACACTTTCTTGTACATGTATATTAATTTGGCTAATAGGTTCTAATGTTACAGCATTCGAAGTTATATTTTCCTCTTTGATGGCCTTATTAGAGCTTAAAACGCTTTCAAGTTCTCCCATAATTATTTCCGTTAGCTCGACGGGCATTACGCCTAAAATTTCTTCGGTGGCATTTTTTGGGAGGTTACAAAGTGGGGTATTAATGTTTTGTGAATCTTCATGTAGTGTTTTTTCTAGGACTAGATAACTTTTATGTGTTTCTAGATCCAATTTAGCCAAACTGCTTTCAGGCTTAGATGATTCGGGTATTTCTGTAACATTTTCTAACGTATCTTGCTTAATATTAGTAACTTCCTGGAAAGCTGTACGATTAACCATTGCAGTTTGAGCACCCTCCTTAAACAATAAATCTAACGCCTGAGTTTTTTCTCCAAGAACCACTTCTATTTGTTCGATTGATTTCATTTCAGTTATTTGTTTTTCTGCTCTTTTCGGCTCTTTCTCTTTATTGTACATATTATGTGTTGACTCCGTAGGTGAACATTCTGATGTGATGTAGCTTTTATTAACCTCAAACTCATATTCAATCGTATTTGTATCATATTTTTGGTCACATAAATTGTCAATGCTTTCAATTATTTGTGGCGAAGTATAAGTTATTTCTTTTATTGGTGTTTGAATCTTTTTTGCATTCTCAACTTTAAGAATAGGTGTTGGCAATAACTGTGAATTTTCTTGTGTAATCAGCTCATGTAATTGCTTATGTTGCAGTTCATTAATACTTATTTTAAGTTGTTGCTCTTCTGGTTTACCAGGAATACCCATACTTACGCAATTATCCAATAACTGCTGTTGTTCAGTGTTAAGGCCTTCAGATAGAAATGAGTTTATTTGTGCTTTTTCACACTTTTCTTTACTTCTTTGATGAAGATTTATTCCCTCTTCTAACACTGTCGTTTCTGTTGTAGTTATATGCTCGACAGCTGCAATGTCTAATCGTTGATCATCACTACCCTGCTCTGATTTTATATTTAAGCCATGTTCTTTCTCTCTTGTATTTATATCTATAACCGTTACATGATGGAGGGGTTCTAACTGAATATTTATGTAATCTTTCCTTGGAACCACATCTCCTGTAAATTCATCACTAGACTCTTTTAGTAATACTTCTTGAACTTGAAATGAAGAAAGAGTTTCAAACTTCTCTTCAATATCTTTAGGCTGATCTACAAGTATGCGTTCATGCACAAATTCTTTTTCATTAGTTTCTATTTCCGTTACAGTAACGTGCTTAGCTGTTTCAATGTTGCTAGTAGTATTATCAACTTTGTTGAAAATTTTATTCTTTAAGTTAATTCCTTCTTCAAACGGTACTACTTCTGCTACATTTATATGATCATTTAAATGCATATTCATGGACGAATTGGTCTCTTTTAATTTTTCAACTATTGTTAACTCTTCTCCAAATTCTTGAGGTCTTATTTCACTTACAAGAAGTGGTTTTATGAATTCGGTACTTAATTCAGTTGCTTCTTTCGTCACAACATTTGACGGTTTAATAACTGCTTCAGATTCAGAAAATTGCAACATTTCAACATTAACATGTTTGTGAGTTTCTATAGTCACATTATTAGAAGACGTTTTTGGTGTTTCATAAATGTTTAGGTTTTTCTCGGATTCCACTGCAAAATTTTCAGTAATTTTTATATAGTCATTTGATTTTATATCTTGCCCCGCGTACTTAACACTAGGAGAATAAAATGAAGACAGTTCCGCTTCTTTTTCGCTAACTAATGTTTCAGTAATTCTTAAACTTGGTGTAACAAAAATGTCGTTTGTAGGCTTAATAGATTTTTTAAATTCACTGTTAGTTATTTCGTTTATAGGTAACTCCGATTCTGAAGGAATAACTTCTGTTACTTCTACGGAACTAACCCCTTCTATCAGACTTTTAGTACTCTTTAGTACTGATTGTTCTTTAATCAACTTGCCTTCTTTTTCCCCAATAAATTGTTCTGTATTTTGCATGGCTTCATTTATTTCACAAATCGGAAGTGCTTTTGCAGATACTGTGTCTTGTAATTGCAGTTCCATGCTTTGCTGACTTGCAACTATTTCGGAACTTTGCAAATGCTGTACCTCACTTACAATAGTACTCGCTATAGTGGTTTTTGGTTCGTAATATTCATTGATATTCTTTTCTTTTTCTACGGTTTGTATTTCAATAACTTCTTTTGCTGATGATTCCGTGACATTTTCTTCAGCTTTAAGCTTTAAATCTTTTGATGTATGCAATAATTCTGTTTCCTTGTCTATAGTAAATATTTGTAAACCCTGTACTGGTTGTTGAATTTGATCGTATGAGAGACTAGCTTGGAATAAATTTGGTGTTTTACTTTTAAAGCTATCTACAATATTTGAAGTTAATACCTCCGTGCTAATTGTACTTTTTAGAGGAACAAACCCAGCTGATAACTTACGAACATCAACAGTATCGGGAATATCCATTTCTTTTTCCTTGTCACTTACATCTACTGAACTTATTACGACTGCTTGTGATTCTGCGATATCATATTTAGCGTTCGATTTCATTTTATCTTTTTCTACTAACTGTGTTTCTTTCTCTGCGGTAACAGTTTCTATTTGTTCTACCGAGTTTAGTAATATTGTTGTAATATCAGATTTATGGGCGCTTGTATCTCGTTCAACCAATACTTCTGTTCCACAGCTAATTAAAGTTTCTTCTATATTTGCAGCTCTCCCGTAAATTTCCATGTTAGGCGAAGCTTGTTTGTAAGCCATTTTAAAGTCGTCTGTTTCAATAAGGTTTTGAGATTGTGATAGAGTTTCAGATGTCTGAAGACTATGTTTCTCAATTATTGAAAAATCTGCTTTCTGCATCTCTGGCTCAGCGGGCGTTAAAAACTTCTTTTCATTTTCTATAAGTGTATTTTCATCATATTCAGGAACTTGGAGAGCTGCCACAGTTATTGATGGCTTTTTTAGGTTATACACAGGAACTTCTAAGACTCCTTCCATAGTATGAACTAATGTTTCTTGTTGAGAAATAGCTTGTGTGGGTACTTTAGCTTCACTTGCTTTAGCTAACGATTCGATATTTTTATACTCTAAATTAGAAGGTATTATTTCCGAATTTAATTCTTGTATTACTAATGCTTCATTGGTGTCTAAATTTATGAAAGCTTCAAACGTCTCTGGCTTTAGAGTCCTCAAATTACTTTCCTTTTCATTATATTCAGTTGTGCTAACAATCATTTCTTTAAAACCTATGTTACCTATAGCAGCATGCCTTAATTTGTCGCTCAACATGTTTTGCTCCGTAAAACCTACTGTGTTATCAACAATTAGTTCAGAGGACAAAGCGACAGGTCGACTTATGATATCAGTGGTTGCTTTACAACTTTCTGTCAGCTGATGCTTTTTATAAACTCCTTCTTTTTCATGTTGCAATGTTTCAGATATTGTTAAAGATTCCTTTGCAGTAACTACATCTGAAGAAACGGATTTAAAATCAGGCATACTTATATCTTCAAGAAAAGTATGTGTATCAAAAATTTTGTTTTCGCTGATTTGTATTTGTGTATTGAGTGTATTTGGAATAATTTGTACCGTTTTATAGGTTCGTTTTTCAGAATCTAATTTGTTAAATGTGTCCGTAGGATTTATTTCTGTAATCAGGGGAGCTTTGCGGTCTGTGTCGATTTCAACATTTGCAAATTTGCCTTTTGTAGGTTCTTTTGATTCAAAATATTCCTCATTTTGTGTAAGCAACGTTTCAGTTATATTTATACCTTCATTACTTATGAAGTTAGATTTTGCTTTTCTTTGAGGTATTTCATTTTCACCTAAGACTTGTAATTGTTCGTGGGGAGTAGTTTGAATAATTGTTATTCCTTTGTGTAAATCCCGTTCTTCTAAAGCTTGTTGTACAAATGCATTTTTTTCTTTTATAAAGTCTATTTGGTCCGCTGTGTTAATTTCTTCAGATATGGGAGTTTTCAGGGGATGAGATGGTAAACACTTCGCAAACAAAATGTCAGGTGTTATTTTTTTGTGTAATTTACTTTCGAGCTCTGATGTTTCAGTTTCTGTAATCGAAAGAGGTAAATTTGGAATGATAGTGGCAGATACATTTTGAGGATTTTCAATATTATAATCTTGAGGGGTTTCGTGGTCGTGAACTATAGTTGTAGATATTACTTTTGCACTCTCAGTTATTATCGATTCCTCAGCAGTCTCATCAGATTTTCTGGGTATTGAAAATTCATTTACTGTTGAGATATGTAATGTTTCCGAAGTTGTTAAGGGTTCTATTGTTTTTACGTCCACATCTGCTACTGCGGTCATTTTTTCCTCTCTTGTGAGAAAATCTTTCTCACTTTCATTTACGTGAATTTCTTCTACAATATTTTTATCTAAAGCAGATATTGAAACTACAGCATAAGTTTGTGATAAAGGTTTAGTTTCTTGCAAAGACTTTTCTGAATCATTGATATTCGTTTCTAAATTAAATTTGTGTTGATGTTCATTAAATCCAATACTTGCTGTCTTACTATTATAAGTTTCAGCATCAAATTCGGACTCCTTAACATGAGAAACCGTCATATAATTATCTAAACTTGTATATAACATCAAATCTTTACCTACTAATGCTTTAATTGGTTCATCTGAAATAACTAACTCTTCTTCTTTCTCATGTAAATCACTTACTAACACCATAACACTATCTTTTGCTGTTATATCCACATTAGCTTCCTGCGTTCGTGGTAATTTTAATGTCTTTAATGAACCTTCCTTTTCTTTAACATCATGTATTTGAGTAGAAATTTGGTTTGAAACAAGTACGTCTTTTCTTGCTGTTTCAGTTGGAACAATTAATTCGGGATAGTACTTTCCTGATTTATCTTCAACAAATACTTCCCCAACTTGTACGGATTCCAGTAAGTTAAAGTCAAATTTAGTTTTTATAGGTTTTTCCGATTTTTGTTCACTTAATCTATATTCTTTGTCCTCTTCGTTAATTTCAGTTACACTTACTTCACTTAATGGCGTAACAGATACCGAAGCGTATGATTTTGGAACTGAAAATTCATCTAAAGAAGCTTCCTTTAAAGATGTTATTTCTTGTGATACATTAATTGCGTCTTGTAAAATAATTAACGATTTTGCATTTTCCTTGTGTTTTTCGTCTATTTTTACATCATCAACTGTCGAATTGCTCATTGTCTCTGCCGTTATGTAACCTTCTGCCGTTACAACTTTTTCTGTAGCTTTTTTTATCGTTCCTTGCTTACTCAAAAAACATTCTTCTAAGTAATTACTTACATCTACCTCTGTTATCTGTAGAGGTTCTGTTTCAGTGAAATGTTGTTGAACTGTTACTTTTGGACTCATTTTAGAATCAAAATGTTGCTCGCTTTCTTGAATCTGAAGAGTGTTGCTAAGAACAGGATAATTCGTATCTAATCTAACATTTGCTGTTAATTTCACATTAATCTTAGGGGCAATTAAATTAGTAGTTTGGCTAGCGGGAACCACTTCAACTTTATTTTCATACGTATCCGTTGCAATGGTTGAAACAAATGGAAATACATCCGCTTCAAAATTGGTGGCCTCATCGATGTCATAATGTTCAATTTTTTCCATAGGGTACATTTTCTTGAATACTTTATTGTCTTCTTCAATACTTTCACCGTGAATAAAACTATCTGTTTGTTTGTGTATTTTACGTTTGCCATGTTTTCTTTCATTGTCATCTGTGAAATTTCAGTATTGTAAGTAATAAGTAAAATACGATTGCTTAAGATACTTTAAGGTAATCTTACCAAAAATTAAGCTGTCAGATGATGATATTATGTACGATATTTTTAATAAGCTCGTTTAATGTATAAGCTTAGTAAATTATGAAATTTTAAAGTTTTAAATAATGTGTTAAATATATTAAAATGAATATTAATTGTACTTACTTAGGAAAATAATTTTTTTGTTTTATTTTAGGAACTTTCCCAATGAAGTGCAAACGGTCGAAGCAATCGACGAAGTGAAAGCTGCATAAGGACATAAGCATAATACAAAAGAGGAAAGCACTAGCAAGGTAGCATTTTACTTGTTATTTAAAAGCATAATCTGATCCTTAAATGTAACTTAAATCGCATTATCCACCTATTAAGCGTTGTTTTTAGGTTTATTTTCAGTAATTACTCTTATTTCATTATTTCTTTCGTTGAGTTTTATTAATTAACCAGGCTTTAAACATACAAAGCATGAAAATAAGTCATTTGAGTAAAAACATTATCATATTTTCTTACCTATAACAATTTTTGTCTTCTTTTGAGAGGTGTCTGTAACGTACAATTAAGCTGTATTAAATATATAGAAGCAATTATAAAAACAAATTTTACCATACAAATCAATTATTATCAAAGAAATATATTTGGTCCTTACATATAAAATTAGCGTTTTGTCGTACTGACCACTTTGATCAGAAATATATCCTCTGTGGTTAAAAATTCCAAATTCAAATTTATAAATTCATTTAGCTGGTACATTTGAGTTTTGAAAACAGTAATTAATTTGTTTTTCCTCCTTATTTTTTTTTTTGGCGTCGCTCATTACCGCACAATAGAAAACATGAAATTTTATTATTATATTTACGAGTACGAGTTCTACCGTGGCGCCAGTGCTGCAGAGACAACTCGAAGGATTAATGATGTGTACGGTGCTGGTGTCGCAAAAGAAAGCACGGTACGTTTTTGGTTTTAACGTTTTCGTTTTGGAAATTTTGACCTTCATAACCAATCCCGTGGACGGCCGGAGACCAAAGTGGAAAATGAAAAATTAAAGGTTATTTTGGAAGCGTATCCATCACAAAGCACTTCAGAGATAGCTGCAGGCTTCAAGGTAAGTGATAAAACTGTATTAATCCACTTGAAGCAAATCGGGAAAGTAAAAAAACTTGAACGATAGGTACGTCATGAATTGAGTGAATCGAACTTGCAAACACGCGTCGACTGCTGTGTTATTTGCTCAACTGACACAAAAATGAAGAGATTTTAAATCGAATCATTACTTGTGACGAAAATTGGATACTGTACGATAATCGGAAGCGCTCGTCGCAATGGCTGAACCCTGGAAACCCAGCTAAATCCTGCCCTAAACGAAAATCGACTCAGAAAAAGTTACTTGTGAGTGTTTGATGGACTAGCGCCGGTGTCGTTCACTACAGTTTTCTAAAATCTGGACTAACGATTACGGCAGATATCTATTGTCAGCAACTGCAAACCATGAAGAAAGAACTAGCTACCAAACAACCAAGATTGGACAATCGCTCTAGGCCACTGCTGCTTCACGACAACGTAAGACCACATATTGCACAAGACCACACACTGCACAACAAACAACTATTATGTTAGATGAGCTACAATTGGAATGTCTGCAACATCCACCGTACTCCCTGACCTTGCTATAACAGATTACCATGTTTTCCAAAATTTTGACAACTTCTTACAAGGAAAAAAAATTCAACTCCGATGTGGCAGTCCAAACCGCCTTCAAAGAGTTTATTGATTCTCGCCCCCGTGTTTTTTTAGTAAAGGGATCAATGAACTACCTATGAGATGGCAAAAGTGCATAGATAACAATGATGCATACTTTGATTAATTAAATATATTTTACAAAAAAAAATTGACTTTGTATTCCTCCCGTACAAAACGCCAATTTCATATGTGGACCTATTATAATTTACATTTTTAATAAAAGCGTAGATTCATTACAAATCATCAGACTATATATACCTTTTAAAATCTTTGTAGTATTTACTTCAGCAACATTTTCTTTACAAGATTCGATAAAAATCTGAAATAATACACATATATTTTTAGTATTATAGTGACAAAATAAGCTAAATAACCATTAACACACACATTACCAGAGTCAACTTTTATTATTAATTTATTAATATAATCGAACTATTATTTTTATTTATTAATTTATTAATATAATCGAACCTTTACGTTTTTTATTAAATAAATGTTTATTTATATAATTGCATAAATTACATCAATCAATTCATTTTTGTGTAATATATATATATATATATATATATATATATATTTGTAAGTTGTTGGGAAACCCCAGCCCAGAGATGGGACAAGTATTTCATGTGCGCCCGAACGTGCACCTTGTAAAGTTGTAGTTCTCTGATGTCAGACTATCATCTTGCGATGCCATTAGTGCCACTTTCACTATTTCTGATTCGTTGACATCTGCATGTGCAACACAATTCCTTCACGTACGAGTTTCCTTTTAATAGTTTACGGTAGATAATATGTTTAATTGAAATAAATAGTAACATATTTTATCAAATAGTAATTTCTACAATTTTATTACTGAGATTGAGTAAGATGCATAGAAAAATGATAACAGTGTTGCGCGCCTAAGTTGATGTCAGGTACCTGGCACTAGCGCCATCTAGTGTCGGAGACCAGATCGAGGAGGGCTTCCTAGAAAATGTCAGTCTCGAACTTTCGACCAACAGCGCCATCTAGTATCAAACAGAAGAATTAAGCTTTCTGGAAGCCCCACACTCGAACTTTCTGCGTCTGGTCGATCGGCGCCCGTATTTGCTTGAATATTCTGGACATTTTGGTGTAAAAGGTGTATTTAAAGCCGCTGCATACCGCGATCGGGGCAGTATTGAATTTGGCGAGACAAGCGAAGCTTCGGAGCGAAATAAAGTGAATCAGTGTGATTAATTATTAGTGTCTTTTAAGTTTTAATTGGTGTTCGGTAGTAAAAGTGTAAATTTTGGTAATTCAATCGGCAGTTTTTACTGTCACAAACCTCAAGCTCGTAACAATTGTCAGAAGTGGGATAACATCATGCCGATTTTACCTAAGGACGAAATGGAGGGTGTCCGTACCCGAAGTCAACGCCAGCAGGAGACGGACCAGAGACGATTTTGTGGTACAACGCCGCAGACGTCGGAGGGCCAGCCGCCGGCCACGGAGGCTGGCCCGTCAGTAGCTCCTGCATCCGCAGCAACTGACTTAGGTGCTCTGATGGTGATGCTGCAGGAGCGGGCCCGTCGGTTGGAAGAGCAGCTGCAGCACGGACAGGAGGAACAGGCCCGCCGACAGGAGGAACAGGCCCGTCGTTTGGAAGAGTAGCTCAAACGCGATAAGCAAGAGCAGATGCTCCTCATGAAGGACATCCACGCTATCTACGGGAAAGAGATACGGGAGATGAAGAATAAGGTTGCTCAACATGACAACCGCCTGTCGGAAGCTGAAACCCGAATCAACCAAGTAAACAATCGGGTTGACAACGTGATGGCTGACATGACGAAAACACTGGACGAATTCAAACTTGGCGATAGAACTACAGCTCCCGCAGTAGCTACTACACCATCGCTACGAGGGTTCAAAGTGCCGCCGTTCAACGGGACTTCTTCCTGGTCAGCTTATAAAATCCAGTTCGAAGCCGTTATGAAGGCGAACGGCTGGAATAAAAGTCAGGCCATGACTGCTCTCACGCTAGGCCTGCGCGACCAGGCCTTAACTATCCTGGAAGCTCTCGGTGAAGAAGTGACTTATGAGCAGCTTCTTGAGGCATTGGAGGCGACGCTCACCTGGTACACGTCTTTCGTGCGCAGCTTAAAGATCGCCTGCAGCGCATCAACGGAAACCTGCAGCAGTGGGCTCTTGAGGTGGAGAAACTGGTGCGAAAAGCTTACCGGTCTGTACCTGCGCTCATTGAAAGGAATCTGGTGCAGACATTCATCTACGGCATCCGTGACCTTGACGTCAGAGCTGCTATGAGGCTCGGGCACCACGAGACGCTTAAGGACGCCTTGGTCCATGCACTGGAGGTGCAAGCCGTGCGGCAGGATCTTCGTTCCCTTCGCGTCAGGGGAGTTGCAGCAGCTACAGTTTGCGACCGCAATAATGCATACAGTCCTAGGTGCTATGGCTGTGGGGAAAGGGGCCATCTTCGATCCAGCTGCCCTAAGCGAACTGTAGAAAGGGAAGTTGATCGATCTCGAGAGGGTAGTGCAGCTAACGGCACTGCCTGGCGGCGGCAGGATCATCGTTCCCCTCACGTTAGGGAGGTTGCTGCAGTTACGGTTCACAATCACAATAAAAATTACAGCCCAAGGTGCTACGGCTGTGGGGAAAGAGGCCATCTTCAATCCAGCTACCCTAAGCGATCTGTAAAAATGGAAGGTAGTCGATCTCGAGAGGGTTGTTCGGTTAACAGCACCACCCAGCAGCAGGAATACGACTTTGAGATCGAACATCGCAGCGGGAAATCTCATGGCAACGCAGATGCATTGTCAAGAAGACCTTGCCCTGAAGATTGCAAACATTGTACTAGGCAAGAGAGTAAGGAAGTAGTATCCGTGAGGATGCTCAGGACAGACCACCTCAGAAACGAGTGGAAGGACAGCTTACAACATGCACAGCAAGAAGATCCGGACATCAAGCCGATTCTAGAATGGATGAAGGTCAGTACTCCCAAGTCCAAGTGGAGCGACATTTTAGCGATGAGTTCGACCACTAAAAGCTATTGGGCCCAATGGGACAAATTGCTGCTTCAGGATGGAGTTCTGTGCCGTAAATGGGAAAACGTTCGCGGAGACAGCTATCATTTGCAAATAGTTGTCCCTAAAGCTAAAGTACCGTATGTTCTACAGCTGTACCATAATGATTGTTCAGGAGGCCATCTGGGAGTTAAACGAACTCTACTGAAGATCCGAGAACGGTTTTACTGGGTCCACCGTCGAAACGATGTCGAGGACTGGTGTCGCAAATGTACAAGTTGTGCGGCTGTAAAGGGACCTCAGACTCGTAGTAGAGGTGCATTGAAGTTGTACAATGTTGATGCACCTTGGGAGAGAATAGCCATTGACGTGGCGGGGCCGTTTTCGGAGAGTGAAAGCGGTAACAAGTATTTCATGGTTGTGATGTATTACTTCACTAAGTGGCCAGAAGTCTTCGCCATTACAAATCAAGAAGCTTCAACAGTTGCAATTAAACTAGTTCATGAAGTCTTCTGTCGTTTTGATGTACCTATAGTGATTCACAGCGATCAAGGAAGGAATTTTGAGTCTCAAATATTCCAGGAAACTTGTCGAGTTATAGGTACACATAAAACAAGAACGACTTCTTATCACCCGCAATCTGATGGAATGGTAGAACAATTTAATCAGACATTGGAGAGATACCTAGCAAAAGTTGTAGACAATCGGCAACGAGATTGGGATAAACACATACAACCGTTTTAGTTGTCATATCGAAGCGCTGTTCACGAAAGTTCATCAGTGAAACCAGCTTTCGCAAACTTTGGAAGAGAATTGCGGCTGCCTGCAGACCTGATACCACCGGGATACCACCTGATGCCCCACGCAGTATAACCGATTATGCAAATGACTTGCGGAACAAAATGAATACAAGAGCATCAGACAATCGGGCCAGCAAATGTCCGAAAAGATCCGTTACGACAGCAAAATGAAAAACAAAGGGTTCGACGAAGGTTCACTAGTGTGGTTGTACAATCCAGTCCGCAGCAAAGGGAAGTCTCCTAAGCTTCAAGCTAAATGGGACGGCCCGTACCGGATTGTGACCAGGATCAACGATGTAACCTACCGGATACAGAAAGGTGCAAGAGGGACTCCTAAGATCGTTCATGTGGATCGCCTGACGCGTTATTATGGGGCCGATAACGCTCGGGACGAGCATGTCTTAGGAGGGGGCAGTGTTGCGCGCCTAAGTTGACGTTAGGTACCTGGCATTAGCGCCATCTAGTATCGGAGACCAGAGCGAGGAGGGCTTCCTATAAAATGTCAGTCTTGAACTTTCGACCAACAGCACCATCTAGTATCGAACAGAAGAATTGAGCTTTCTAGAAGTCCCACACTCGAACTTTCTGCGTCTGGTCGATCGGCGCCCGTATTTACTGGAATATTCTGGACGTTTCGGTGTAAAAGATGTATTTAAAGCCGCTGCATGCCGCGATCGGGGCAGTATTGAATTTGGCGAGACAAGCGAAGCTTTGGAGCGAAATAAAGTGAATCAGTGTGATTAATTATTAGTGTCTTTTAAGTTTTAATTGGTGTTCGGTAGAAAAAGTGTAAATTTTGATAATTCAATCGGCAGTTTTTATTGTCACGAACCTTAAGCTCGTAACAACAGCATAATAAAGCCTATTTGTTTCTCAGGATGAGTTAAAGGAAACATCTAAAAATCATTATTCGATTCCCACCACTGCACTTACACCGGGAAAAAAAAAGCATCAACGTATATACTATTAGAAAAAAATTAACGCTTCCAAGCTAAAAACTTTTTCAAAAAAAAATTTTTTATAGAAGAGGGGGCAAATGAGCATGCGGCTCACCTGATGGTAATTGACTACCGACTCCCATGAACAACCGCAACACGAGGGGAGTTGCTGTTAAACTTAAGACCGATCCCTTGGGACGTAAGATTCAAATCATTGAGCATAGTACTAAGATTACCTAGCAATTTTACCACAAATGACATATTCCTCATTGATTCCGTTCACAGGGGCAAGAAATCTTCTGTTCATATTGCCGAAGGGTAAGAATGTATTCTATGACACCGAAGCCGGTTTGTTTGGGGGGTTCAAAGTCGTCAAATCTGCTTGAGAGGCCTTTTGACGACCATCGATAACAACACGTACATAAGGCTAAGAATATAAGTTTGTCGGCAGTTCTTCAATAGTATCTTCTCTGTTGAAGAACTGCCGGCTTCTGCTGCCGTACTTCTGCTCTCCGTCTATGAAATAGTGCCACACATGCATGTTGTTTATTTTTTTATTTCATTAATATAGCTGTCAATTCAGTGGGGCATGAAAATGAAAGCTGCTCTATATCCATTGAAGCCTGCAGAATATATATGTGTATAAATATATATATATATATATATATATATATATATATATATAATAAGAATATCCACTACCCCATATCGTATCGAGGGTATCGTAAGAGGCGATAAAGGGAAACTGAAATTGTAAATGAGCAGCAGCATCTGCCTGATAACAACTAAAAATAATAAAAACCTGCTGTTGCCAACCCGCCCGCTAATCACGACGACTGCGGCAAAATTCCTGTATGAGGCAATCCATTAGTGAGGCCTATGTTCAGCAGTGCACTTTTAAGGACTGTAGTGGATCGATGATCCATGTGATTAAGAGTGTGAAAGTTCTTCTGCAACAAGGTTTGCAGAACTTAGTTCCAACCGCATGGACAGCTTCCACGAACTAGTCATTTATATCATCCGCTGTATTGCAATCTTCTAGGCATGTGAAACGTTAACTCGCTATCACTTCACTTATATACATATTCGTACTTTAAATTGATGCATTTATATATCAATTTCCGTATATTATTGTTTATAACTGTTAAGTCGCTTTACAAAGAGAAATTGTTTCGATAGTTGTTAAATAACATCAACGAGTGTTAACGCGCCACGGGTATTGAATTGTAACATAACTATAAAACCTAAAAAAAACTTACGGCATTTGCTTCTTTGTATTCCCAAGACCGGGGCTTAAAATCTTCTGGATAAAAATGAGTTATTACTTCTTCCACTGATGTATGTCTCATTTCTACCATCTTTAAAAACGCTCTGAATCCAACTTTTGCCGCAATTGTATCTTCATCTTGAGCGGTTTCTTCAGTAAGTACTTCAGTTATAAGAGCACCGTGTCCTTGACGTTCTACTAACTGAACTAAAGCTGATTGTGATTGAGGCATTCTAAGAGCTGGAAAATGTTGCGAGTCGTATAAACTCTCAATTTGCTCAATTGTTAGGCCACTTCTCAACATATATCCAATTTTAGCAAGTTCTCTTAAAGGTGACTCACCGGGTCCAAATTCTTTAGCATTTATTACCTCAAGTAACTCGTTTATTTCTGCGGCCATTCGAGTGTTCATTTCTACTAACTTAGTTACGCCCTTTTGTTCCTCGAAAAATTTTTTTTCTAAAGGTTGAGCTACCTCACATGTTTCTTGTTCTGTATGTATTAAATAATCGTCAGATGATACGATTGGTGTTACTTTTTTTATTGTTTCAACAATATTCTTCTCTTCAACTTGTTCACTCTTTTTCGTTGCAATATTTTTTTTCTTCTTGCTCATCTGCGTTGAAGTCACTTTTTTGCTTTCCGTCGTCTCTTCGTAAATATTTTTCTCATCCACGGTATTATTTATTTCATTTTGATGTTGTTCTCTTACTTGAGGTTGTAAAGTAGATTTAGTAGTTTTATTTTGTTCTTCAATTTCCACGGTTTCAATATTTTCTTCTCGACGTTGTTGATTTTGCTTTAAAGTTTCTTCAGTAACTTTAGTGTCTACGAGTTTTTTCTCGATTTCAAATACTTGTAATTGGGCCTTGGTAATAGCGAAACCGATATCACTAAAGGCTTTACACGTATACACTCCTTCATAATTTTTATCGGCTTTAAGAATTCTGCAAGTAGTACGATTGTTTTGATTTTCAATTGTAATGTTCTTGTCCGACTTTATAATTTTATCATCTTTGAACCATTGTATATCTGTAATAAAATGTAATGAATTATTATATATAAAAACATTTTTCTCACTAAAGAACATTATTTGATAAATATATCTTACTCATAAAGTCATTGAATGATGATGGTTGTATGGTTTAAAGGCTTAAAACTATTGAATTGTTATCATAAGATTAGGGACTTAATGGCTCTATCTGAGCTTATGATTCAGAATTTAGTTTTTAATATTTTCTCGATCATCCACATCAGCATTATATCATCCTTCAAAGTCCACTACTGAACATAGCCATCTTACATAGATCGCCTCATAGGCTATATTGCCATAGTCTATCACGCTTATCAGGTGGGTTAGCATTCGCAATATTTAATTATTTTTTTCTTAATTAAATCCTTCTGTTGCCAGTTGCAATAATTGCAAAATAAGGCTTTACCAATAATTGGTTAAAGTTTTGTTTTGCAATATTTGCTTTAATTACAAATTCATATTATTACACACACACACACATACAAATTATATTTTAATATTTGATCTCTCTATTTCAGTCCTACGTTAGTGTACATCGCTAAGCAAGGCATTTTGCCGCATTTTTGTCGCTAGCATTACAGCTCATCACAAGTAAACTGCTATTCATATGCCTCCCCTAAAGAATGCTACAAAGTACGGTCCTGAGTTATCTGCTTCCATGATTTCCTACATATCTTACCAGGTCGTCATTTTACCTAACGTGGTCCAAGGCTGCCACTCAAGAACCTGACTTTTCCACCAGGTTTCAGTTCTTTTAGTTACATTAAGCTCATTGTCACTTTAGCTTACTGATCCGTTGCGTTATGTCCGTGACTCTGGTTCTATTACAAGCAAAGTTTTCCTTTCATTCATTCATTTATCTCCGAGCTATGTAGATGTGACATAAGAGACATATCGTAAGAGGCGAAAGAGGAAACAAGTAAAAAAGGAAGGAAGCAGTAATTTCCTGATAACAATTCAAAATAATAAAAAGCTACTGCTGCTAACCCGCCCACTCAGTGTGGGAACTATGGCAAATATCACTCATATCGATGGTCAACCTCTCTGAAGCTTACTGAGCACTTTAAGCTATTTCATACGGCTAACAGAAGAATTACGTCTAATTTAAATATGTCTTCCATGATATCCGCTGTATGTAGCGCCCAGGCAAGTTTGATCGATCGGTTGACCTCTTGGTCGAAGTTGGATTTATCTAGTCAGACAATATGTCCTAGGTAAACATACTCATCAACAACTTCGAGCGTAGTGTTCCAAACAACTATTAAAAGGGATAGGTGTAACATGGGCATTACGAATGACCTTAGTCTTGTCGACATTTATCTTAAGACCCTATCACTTGAGAGATATTATAAAAATCATTCTTTGATTCTGCCACAACACTATATCGTCATCAAATTGAAGGTGATTGATGTACTCGCTTTTGATGTTGATACCGCATTCGATGCAGTTCTGTAGATTGAAAACGTCAATATAACGTCACTCTTACACCCGTCTGTGGTTGGATAGCTTACGCACTCTGGTTTTGTACTCGGATAGTTAGCTTGTAGGTTTACTAAAAAAACACCTCAGTGCTTTGATATACCGACAGTAAACCTGGCACCGCTGAACAGTAATAAGCACCAACCAAATTCCGTTAAATTCAGTTAAAGGCTTTCTAGTTGTCTACGAAGTTCTGGACAATTTGCCGAATGGTCTGTGAGGGTCTAAAGTGCTAAAACATTTTAACAAACGAGCACATAGTCCACCAGATGGTAAGTGGATGCTGTGGCCCATAGACATGAACACTTATCCTCGATTAAGAATCAAAATGCAGATGCATTGTCACCCCTGAGGAATAAGATGGAATGTCTCGTTTTCAGTAAAAAATAGTCTCAGAATCTCTACACTCTCCATACGAAACACAGGAGTATTAAGCTGCTATTTTACGTTGGTATTACGTTGTGTGAGAGCGTGGTCCTTCCCCGGTCGATCCGATCCATTCGTGCTACAACCATAATATAGCTGCAGCGTGGCACTTTCACGTATAAAAAATCGTAATGACTGTCGAAAACTTTAGTACTATTTTGTCACAATTCTTGAAAAATCAAATCGACGCACTTCTGTTCCTCGCTTCCGAAATATCTTCACCATAAAAGGTTGCATTGAACAGCTGCTAAAGAACTTCGAGTAATGGTTTCCCACCTGTTTTAAGCAACTCTATGGTAAATACATCCTCAGCTGGGGCCTTGCCATTTTCAGGTGTTGGAAAACTATTCTGTTTTCGCGAGACTAGAGTGTAGTGTCAAATGAGACCCGCTATTGGGTTGTTATTCACACTTGCTTGTGGTTTCAAAAGCAAAGTCCATAACTGTCGGTAGAGCTTCTCAATCTTACTTAAAATCTTAGGTATCTCGGAATCTAATAATAATATTAGTACCTTAATGTTAAAAGATTAAACTTATCAATTAAACAGAGGCGCCAATCTTGTTTAGAAGGAACGAAACATATTTTTTAGAAATAATTCTTTATGAAACTGTTATCTAATAAAATGGCATAGTAGTCAAAGAATACGCCTTTGCAAACATGCCTGATGCACAGCAAAATCGGGGTTGTCCCTTATATGATCCTGAATCCATTGCTGTAATGGACACTTTACACTTAGCTTCAACCGCATGGGCTGAGTTGTCCTACGTAATATAACGCAATGGGCTCGAAAACATTTACAGACGCTTGTCCTACAAGTAACAGGTGTGTTGCCATTTTATTGAATGAAGCTGAAAATTCTCATTCGTAACTATTCCATCTAAAATATTTAACCTACCTGGTCGTGGATTACCAGAATATAATGCTTCTAATACCACAGATGTGTGTTCATTAACACATTGTCGTTGCAGGTTCTTTGTGAAAGTCGGCGGTGATTTTGTCTCTAAAATTATATAATTTTATAAGTAACAATTAATAAGTATATTTTTCAAAATAATGCAAAATCATCTTTTCTTTTAGGTAATTTGTAGTTTCCCGACACATTGAAATAATAATGAACAAAGATAGAAGGGCTCGTAAACGGGCTCTTAAAAAATCATCTTGTTAGAAATATTGCTAAAAGTATATAGGTCTGTGATACTCTTATACTGCATTGTACAGCACTACGTAAAGTTTTCTCCAGAAATGTTTTTACAACTGTATTGTCAAGCATATGTTTTGACACTCATACGTGTGAACGAAGCAATAAAGAGGATATAGAACTGCGCAGAGTAAGATAAAATGGCGACTGAGGTTGTTAATGTTACTGTCAGATGCAATTTAGCTCCCAGATCTAAAATTGTGTTTACGCACGTCTTTGCGAACCACAAAAAATTAAATAATAATTAGTGAATAAAACAAAACTTTTCTGTCACCAGGTGCTAAATTTATTATACCCCGGGGCGTCAAACCTAGAGATGGTAAGATATGAATTTATGCAACAGAGCAGGGTGCTGTAAAAATTGTCCGACGATGTTGCAATATCTAATTGTCAAAGCGGGTTAAATTACTTGCAATCCAGCCCGCCAGGTATCAGAAGCACTGCATATATATCGAAATATAACTGCAATATACTGTATGAGATTGCGACAACTGGTTGCTTGCATTACATTGCACGTAATAGACGGCAACTCGGCAGCTATACAATTGCAGCTTAAAACCGCTAAGGAACTGTAGTCATTTTACGAGGGCCTTAACCTTAAAAAATAATTTTGATTAGTTTCTAATAATAAAAATTACCTTTTAATGAACTTTGCAACTCTTCCATGTGTATTACCCATTCAGGCTTTTTGTAATCCTTAGTACCAATAATGTCTGCAATCACACAATAGCATTAAGAAATTTTAATTCTTTATTTTAAGCCTCTGACCAAAAATTAAAACCTGCTGTCTTATTATTTTAGTCTAAGTTTTAACCACTACACCAGCTGCTAGATCGAATCATATAATACAAGTATAATATTTGACTAATTAGCACTAGGTTTTATGTATAGTCAAAAACAAGACTACCACAGATACAGCTTTGCCAACTCTATGGATTTTCCATCCAGCCATCGTGCTGTTACAGAAATATTTGTCTATTTTAAATTAAGGCACGTTAACTACTACTGCCATCTTTTGGCTAATACCCATGTAGCCAACCATGTCACCATGTTTACATGTAAGACAATAGCAATAGATCGATTTTAATTTAAGGCAATTTCAGTTTAGTTGACTAAATGTAAATTATAACTACAATTGAACTTACTACAAGAATTTTAGACAATAGAAAGAATTTCTCCAAAAAATTTATCTATTTTATGACAAAAATAAAAAATTTCGAACTTCTTTGAAAGTCTGGGGATCTACGAATTTTTTGAAATATCATCTACGGAATTCTTAGGAATTTTTTAAACAAAACTACGAATTTTGAAAATTTCGAGTTGGCAACACTGCACAGATATTCAGTTTTAATTTGGAAGTGTTTAATATGTAATATGATGCTTTTTTCCAAGATTTATTAATTATAGTCCGACAAAAATAATACAAAAATAACATTTAAATGGCGCTGTAGCCGTTTGTGTCATCAGTTTTGCTTTCCATCGTATACACATTTAAATTCATGTGATCCGTGTGTTATATAGATTAAAAAATCTGAATTAATATTAATAAATAACTTTTTAGTATTTGTTTTTTTTTATTATATTTTTTAATATTATTTAAATTTCAATGCTTTGTTTTTATTAATTTAGTACTATTATTCCTAAATAAACTTGAAAATTCGACTTACTACTAACTACTTTAATTAACTATTTATTAAACGGTTCTTAGCTAAAAATTGGTAAGTAGATAAATATTATGGGACCCACTACTGATGGTTTTACTCGGTAGATCCACGAAGACAGTAAAATAATCTACTTTTATTCAATTAAACAAATTTAAGACGGTGACTCCTATTAATTTGTATTGTTATTCATTGTACTCGTATATGTCAGGAAAAGAAAGGATTATAACAATGCAAACAAAAACTCTTCATTCTGTGTCAATTTATCCCTGTAAGAAGTAATTTTAAAAAATATAATAAATATTAAAGTAAATTTAATTTTTGGTGGAGAATTATTCTTCGTGATCTATTGATCTTTTTATACAACTTACTTTCAACCGATAAAGCGGCAGTAGTAGCTGTTACACCTAATGAGTTGTAAGCTTCAAAAGTGATTTCACCAGTATCATCTTGATATGATTCCGGTATAATTAAAATAGATGTTCCATCCTCTAATTCCTCTATTTGATATTCTTGTGATTGCTTTATTTCTACTCCATGTTTTAACCACCTAATTTGTGGTTTTGGATTTCCTATGGCTTTAGCCTCTAACCTGCAAAATTCATACAGAATTAATTTTAAATTTTTATTGATTTATTAATTGTGTAATGTATTAGATAAAGGTGATGTTCGCCTATTAATTGTCATTTCTTATTTATACCTTGTTAATTCTCCTTCGGTTGCAGTAACAACTGTTGGTAAAGTTTTTACAATCCGCGGTGTAGATTCTTCAAAGTCACTTGTTTTCTGCAAAAAAATGTATGTTTACTTGCAAATGTTAGCAAACTTATTATTTTACAATTTTATATATTTTATCCAACGGAAATACTAATATACTTATAAAGTAAGTGGTTAATTACGTAGTAAATTGTATTAAATTAAATGATGTAACTACAAAACTAAGAAGAAACTGTGTGTGAAGTGTCTAACGTAAATGAAATTAAAGCAGGGATTATACTAAATTTTGGTATGAGTAATACAAACACAAAACCTAATATTTTTTTATTATCAGCGTATTAATAATTTTGTACTACTATAAATTTGGTAAATCTGTTTTTTAAGAAAATTTAAATAATGGTCATAAGAGGATAGAATGCAATCGATTAGTAGTTTTTCTTGGTGAAGTCCTGAGCTATACAAAATTACATCCAATGACGGCTATCATACGAACAGCCCCCATGCTTACAGTATTGTGGCCAGATTTTCTTACTCCTGAGTTATACGACAGACTAAGTCAAATGACGATATGTTGTACAGGAGGTTATCGTCTCGTATATTATGGTGTAGATATTGAAACGCATATATGGCAATACGATGTCATATATCCGAAACTAATAAGTATTTCTTTATTCGATGATAATAAAACAGCCGTCAGCGGCAACGAGGTTTAAACTGAAATTGTGAATACCGCTAATCCGATAATCCTCATTGCAGAAGCAATGAGAGCCTAAAGGGAGTTGTTACAAAGTCTAAGCACTTCTGCCAGATGTATAAGACAAGTCATTATGACTGGTTAAACATTAGAATCAGAAAATGTGATTGATACTGTTGAACTTTTTTTTAGCAACAAGCAATTCACAAAAAAGCAATTCTATATAGTACTAAAGTGTGTGAAGATACCGAAAGTCTGATACCGTTATCTCTTATTTTTAAGGCACATATTCTTGCTCGATATGAAAATATTAGGGAAGCTTTTATTAAAAATTGTACATTATGTTTTAAAAATAAATTTAAAAGAGCAACCATTATTAACTGCTTAACATGCTTGTTTCTTACACTAAATTTTAATATTTTAAATACTAGTTATGAAAATAAAGTAGTAAGTTTAATAGTATTATATTAAATTACTGTTTAATATTTATTTTTGACTACATAATAAATATTAAGAGCCGTGGTAGCTCAGTAACTATGCGCTCTCTGTAAATTTCACAGTACGCGAGGGATTCGAGTTCGAACCTCGCCGGCACATTGTTAATTACAATTTTAAGTGCACGTGTTCAGTGATAAAGGAAAAAATCGTGAGGAAACCTTCATGTCTAAGAAATAAGTAAAGAATACTATTTCGAAGACATGTTAAGTTCGCCAGCACGAATTGGGGACAGTGCGGCGGACATTTTCTTGTCCTAAAACCCTCTCAGAAATGAGAGGAGGCCTGTACTCAGCAGTGGGACGTATATAGCCAGTAACTTCAACTTTTAATATATTAAGTAATATAAAGAGTGGGTACCTCGTCACTTAAAACATCTTCTTCGGAGGCACTGGGCACATATTCGTACGCTAAAAATATAAAATATTTATTTAATAAAAATGTTTATATAATAATAATACCTACATATTTGTATTTAAAGTAAAAAAATTGAAAGAACTAGGTAGTCTAAAAAGAAATTGATTTATATGTTTAACTTTTTGAGTATCTATTTGTCTAAATGAGGCTAATATATATTAATCGTGGGCTATGTTGTAATTCTTCATAAAGTGCGTTAGGTTGGCGAAAAAGATGAGTAGCGGCGTCAAAATTAATAATAAATACCAGCTTTTTTGAAATTATGAATCTGTCTGTCAAGCGTAATGATTGACGATAGGGCATGGCCCATGATCAATAGCGAACTTTTACCGGATAGGAAGGGGAGGAGAAAATCTACCAAGGAAATGTAGTAAAAGCGAAAATCTTTGGGGACGATTTCAAGCGTATTTAATTTAATAATCTATATAAAATAAAAAACATATTGTATATATTCCCATGATTAAGAGAATAGATTACGAACTATATCTAAATTTTTTAAAATTTCGACCAAATTCTTTTTAGACTACTTCATAATAATCCGTACAATTCCATATACTGTATAGTAATTGATACATTTCTTAATTACGTTCATTTAGATTAAGGGGCCTAACTCAATTAAAATAATTCTGTCACAAGGTAAAAAATTTGTTCAGAATTTGTACAATTTCACAAAAATTTGTACAATTTACTGAAAATAACCATATTTTTCGTTACATTTTCATACATTACAGCCTTTTAAATTCTACTGCTGACCATTGACCTCCCCATAGATTGCCTCATAAGGGAGAAGTATTTATAATAATTACCACCATAATTACCACCGTTTTCAGGTGGGTTGGTAAGCGAAGTATTCTGTTTTTTAGTTATTATTATGACGACACTACTTCCTATCTTCTAGTTTTATGTATATTGAATTGGTAATACCGTAATTGAAATCTGTTAAGGGTTAGACTAAGTTGACAAAAGTTTGCACACATAATTGGTTTCATATTATATTGTTTACTAAAACATTTAAATTGTACAAACTTAAGTTAACTGTGTACTGATTTCATTATCACAAATAATATTAAAGGAATTATTATAACTTTGTATTTTGATTAGGTACCATTTAATAACAACGCCTGCGTGTTTTTTCTTTTATAAGAAAAGGGTGACAAGCGAGCACACAGTCCACCTGATGGTAAGTGGTTGCTGTGGCCCATAGACATCTACATCTATCCTCGTTTGTGAATCAAAATGCAGATGCGTTGTTAGCCTTGAGGACTAAGATGGAATGCCTCTTTTCCAGTAAAAGGGTCTCCGGTTCTCTACGCTCACCATACGAAACACAGCAGCATTAAGGTGCTATTTAACGCTGGTATTCTGTGAGAACATGGTCCCTCGCCGGTCGAGCCGACTCATTCGTGCTACAACTATACAATTAATATTGCTGCAGCATGGCCCTACCACGTAAAAACGTGTAACGCCCTTACTTTGAATAATTATAATTGTTTAACACAGGATAAGAATAACGACTTCTACAATGTTGTGTGAAAGTGTATTAACTCGTGATAGGAGTTTCTCTCTTTTAACTATGGTAGTAAGTAGCAGATATTATGTACATAAAGCTTCTTACAAGAATTGGATGGTGTCTCAGTCTATAAATTTGGTTGGTATACTGAAGATGAGGATTTTTCGGTAAGTTGTACAAATTTTTGTGTTAATATACAAACTGTGGCCCAACATACTAAATCGTGATTGTATTAATTTTTTGTAAATAAACCCCGAAAAATATTCAAATATAAGAAAGGTAATTATTCATAACTTGTTTATTCACCTTTAGTATGGATATGAAACTGTACATAACTGCTTAAGATAACTAATTAAATATCTCTTACATTATTAGCAATTATAAAGCTAAAGTAGCTAACCGCTAAGCATTTACTTTGGGTTTAAGTGTTTTTAGTATAAGTAAAAAAAAAATGTATTTCACAACTGTGTGCACAATCTAAATTATTTAAATGTTGATAGAAAATCTTATATATATATATATATATATATATATATATATATATATATATATATATATATATATATATATATACAGATGCATGGCAAGTGTCATACTACTGATGTTAACTTAATAAATAAGGTGCATTTTTACTTTCTCTACACATTTAACATGCAGTTCGTTAATACTAATGCATGCAATCATTTAGCTTAACGTTGCTACCTTCTACGTTTACAAAACATTCACAGCTACAAGATCCAAATTGATTTATTGCTTGGCAGCTGTATGTTCCTGACATTTCTGGAAACGCTTCTTTAATGCATAATTCACACATTCCAGATTCCTTTCTAGAAATTAATATATCTTTTTCATGTTGAACTAATTCCCCATTGCGATACCATATAATTTTTGGACATGGTGTTCCAGTTACTTCACATGTTAATACAATTGGATCTCCGTCCATGACGGTAATCGATTTTAAACATAACAAAAACTGGGGTGGTTTACCGTCAAATAATTTGTTGTTTTCCAATATCAAACTAGCAGAACAAGAAATTGATCCCGCAAAATTCTCAACTCTACATGTAATAACATCCAAAAATTCATCGTTCATATTTTCAATACAAAGACACGATACATTTTCCCTGTCTGTGATATAAATATCATTTATTTTGTGCTCCTTTATGTATGATAATATATCTTTGGTACCTACAAACCACTGAAAAGAGGCAATTGGGTACGATAAAACCTCTGTCTCCAACAAAACTGCTTCTCCTAATCTTACCGACCTCGGTCGTAGATATCTAATAAATACAGGTGGTTGAATATCATCCAAGTCTGATGATTTCTTTATTTTAACTGAACATGCTGATTTTGCAATTACACCGTCATCATTTTCAAGTACTACCTCGTATTTTCCCGCTTTTCTTCTATCGGCATTTTTAATTTTTAATATTGATTTATTGCATTTTGTTTCTACTATACAATCATCACTTTGTTCAAGTGGGGAACCGTTACGAAACCATTTTACACTATTTTTTTCTTCCAATATAAATGTAACAAATAATTCAAAGTTACTTTTATTTTCAATACTTATAGCTCTTAAATGTTCAGTAATGATTGGTCCCATTTCTGTAAAACATTTCACAGTGTTATATTCCATGCTAACACGCTTATTTTTATATAATTAATATGCTTACAAGAATATTATTATGACATTTTCCATGTTAAACATACATTTATTGCACGTTTTAGTCCAAATCCTGCTGTATACAAACCCTATACAAGTGGATTAAGAGTATGAACCTATTTAATTTATTTACACAATAATAACATTGTTTTTACTTAATTGTACTGAAAATATTAGAGAATTATTTACAATATTTAATTTTAAAGTCAGCATAAAACACTTCAAAACAATAAAAATATCCAGTCGTACAATATACATAGTATTGAAAAAGCGGTACACAGTAAACTTAATCTATTGTGTTTATAAAACAGTATGTATAAGCCATGCATCTGTTTTGTTGGTTTTATATTATATTAATAACTAACGTACGTAATATTATATTATAATAAAAAATAGCCAGACCTACTGAATAGAAAAAAATGTATAAGATAAAATATAAGTTAATCCTACCTTGTTTTCCTTGAATTCGCTGATCTTTCTCCTTCCCCTTGAGTTTGCTCTGTTTTATTTCAGTTACGTCTTCCTTTGTTGTGTCCAATAATTTCTCTTCCAAAACAGCAGGTTCCATCTTTGTGTTTTCATCATAGGTTGCGAGTGTTTTTTGTTTAGATACCACTTTTTTCTCATTATCCTCAAAGTCGCTTATCGAAATATCATGTTTCTTAGGCTTTTTACCGACTTCTTCTTGCATGGTTACAACCGGCTCACGTTTTTTCTCTACTAGACTTTTCTGTTCTTCAATGGATTGAAGAATAGCTGTGTGTACTTGTTGTTCTATTTTACCTTTTGTTTTCTCGTAAGATTCTTTCAATTTAATAATATCTGATTGCTTTTCCTCTGATATTTTTTGTTTAGGAATTTTCTCAACAGTAACTTCTTCCGTAACTTTCTTAGGCTGGGAATGACGTTCTTTATCTTCAATATCTTTAGAAGTAGGTTTTTTGAACTTTATTACTTCAAGACCACTACTTTCAGGTTTTAGCTCTTCAAACTGTATTCCTTTTTTAACTGGCTTGAGTTTAATGCCTGTTACCTTGTCGATTTCACGGTCTTTTTCTCTTGGCACTGGTTTAAGAGAGACCTTTTCTAGTGGTTCCTCAAGTTTTTTCCCAGTGGTTTGGGAAGGCTTCAATATAACTTCTTCAGTGATTGATTCACTATCCGGGCGTTTCTTACTTTTTCGCCACGGAACTTTTTCTAATTGTGTTTTCTGAACTTGAGTTTCGTCTAAGGTTTTTTCTTTTATGAACATAACTTCTTTCGGCTGTTCTATGTTAGTAGTAAGTGCCGTATTTTGTGGCACTTCTTCTGTTTTAACAGTGACTACTGATTTTTCTTTTATCTCGATCACTGTTTCGCGATTATCAGGCACTTTTTCATCAACCGTAAGTGGCTTTATTACCGGCTTTAGGACAACTTCTTCACTGACTTGTTTTTCTTTAGGTAATTTCTTAACGAGTCTCCATGGTACCTGCTTGTCTGTTTTTTCTTCCGGTAGTTTATCTTGCAAAGTAGACTTTAATTGATCTTGAACTTTTTGACGCTCAACTATAATCTTTTGGTCTTTTGAATGTTCTTCGAGTCCTTTATTTATAATTTGAATGCTTTTTGTCTCTGATTTTGCTTCTTTAATCGTAGAAAATGTCTTTTCTGTACCATCAGGTAAATTCTTTTCTTCATCATGCAATTTTAAAATTACAGTGTTCTCTTCTGAAGTTAACGATTCTTCAATTACACGAGTCTCAACTTTTTGAATAGATCCTTTTCTTACTTGTCGTAAAGACACTTCATTTAGTTTTTCTTTGGGTATTGGAGCTTTTTCTATTTTAGTAGGTCTTAATTTTATAGCTTCTTGAGTCCATGGTAGATCATCTTTTACATCTCGCTTATTAAAATCTCCTTTAGGTTTTTTTTCCTGACGTTCTGGGGTGATAAATTCTTCAACAATTTTGGTTGTTTTTAACTCCGCAATGTCCGTAATTTCATCACGTTTCGAAAAATCATCATTTTTGGCAACCATTTTCGATTTAGTTAAGTTGCTGATTGGAATATTAGTATCTTCATTATAATTTATTTCATTTAAGTTAATTTTTTCTACTTGAGTAACTTCTGAACTTGATTTCCGTTCTAAGAATTTCGGTTTTCCCATTTCATGTTTTGATTTTCGCCAATTACGTATTTCCAATGTTTCAGGTCCTTTAAGATCTACTTTTGCTACTTCATCTTTGATTATTTCACTTATATTATGAGTACTTATCGAGGATTCATCGTTAACATGTTGTATTTCCTTAACCCCTTCGCGGGGTTTCCTCCAATATCGAACTTCTATATTTTCATTCTTTGTAGTTTTTATGTCTTCTGAGCTTTGTTTACGCCACGGAACTGATTTTGTTATTTTTTTGGTCTCAGTATCTTGATATTTACCTATTTTTAAAATATTACTGTCTTCAGTAGATTGAAATAGCGACTGACTGGTTTGAATAAAGTTAACATCTTCTTCACTATCAGCTAACTTAGTTTTTTTATGAATGGTCTTGCGAGTGACAGTTTGTTGCGATTCTGAAATAGACAATAAGTATATTATTTTTATCTCATCATATGTATTTGTGAATGAAATGGACAAAGGTAGCTTATATAAATTAAAAGTGTTTATTAAGCATTGATAATTTAGAGACAGGCTATCCTCTGTAAACTTTAGAGTAATAAAAATTTCAAGTGCTACTTTATCATGAACTATAAATTTTTATTATTTGTATTTTTGTCCGTTAACATATTTTAGTTTCCAAAAAACTGCTCTGAACATTAGACCATTGTGATGAAGTCTTCTGGTTTCATAACTCTCACTTTAAAAAAGAAGAAGAAGCCATTGCTTTCTTTAATTATAAAACTTTTCATTTAATTTACTATAACGATTTTATTAGCTTAATCTATATACGTGAACGTAGGAATGAATGTAGCCGCATTTTATTACAGTTTTCACCCACTTCTGGGTGACTTACAAATATGAAATTTTGTAGACGTATTAAGAACCGATAACAGTACAATAATTTCATTACTTTGACCTAGTATTAATCTTAATTATGATAAATGCGAGTTGTTTTAGTTTTTCAATCTCTGATTTACTAAGCAGGCACGTTATTATCGAGTAGAGGCAGCTTAAGAGAATTCACTACTTCATATCATCCCATGGGTGTCGTATGAGGTAACTTTTTGATAACAGCTTGACATAATAAAAAAACTGTTGTTTCCAACCGCCTGACAAGTATAGCTAATTCTGTATGAAGCAACCTATGTATTTTTCACTCGACGTTTGAAGGGATGTAATGAATGAATGAAATATAAAAGAGATCTAAAAATAATCTGCTATAAATAAGATAAAATACAATTAATGAAATAAAAATATAGTTTTGTTATATAAAATTATAGTTTAATTTTTTTATTATATTATTATTATTAATAATTATTAATAATTAGCTTATATATGTTAATTTAATTTATTGCACAATAATAGTTAATAAAATATTAGGAGAGGGACAATAAAATACATATAGGGGATTAAGTAAATAAGGAGAATGAGAGACATTCGTACTTTCGAAAATTGAAAATGAATCAAATGCAGTTATTGATATTTGTTCAAGTGATCTTCTTTCAGTTCGAAGTAGCATATGCATCTGAATGTGGATCATCATAGTTAATCAGGGGAAAATTTAAAATTTGCACAAATGTCGTCTAGATATTGTGTGGAAAGAAGTTTTTGTGGCGGTAGAGAGCTTGGTCTCAGCTTGAACGTGCCAGTTTAGTGGAAAATTTACAAACCAAGGTCCTTGCCAGAAGAAAACAATTTCAGAACAGTACATTAAAAAACCTGGTGGTACAGCTTGTCTACATCCTCTTTACCATCCAATGGCTACGATAAAGACTTGATAGTTTGAAGTGATGACTGTTAAATCAAACCTGTCTGAACAACTCTTAATGTATTCTACCGCCGTTTACTGTCTGTCCTCCGCTGAAGAAATACAATCAAGAGTCGCATGTGAATACAACTGTAAGTTGTAGCATAAATGTAACACATAAACTTAAGATTTTGAGTAATGGAATTAATTAATATTGAAAATAATACACGTAATAGAATACCGCCTTGAGGAATACCGGCAGATATATCGAACTAACTTGGTAAAGACACATTGCCGCCGAATGATTGCCTTTTGAAAAATTAATAGTTATAAGTTATTTAAATATATACGTACAAAGAATATGTTTTTCATTATAACATAGTCTTAGTAGCCAATACAGTACAGAGAGTAGTATAAAGTTACAGACTGTGAGGAATACTGAGTCAAAAAAGGTGATAACTCCTTTGTAGCCTTCTTTTTTTGAAGTTGGCTAAAGGTGACCATGGACCGCAGCAGCCACTTTCATCACTTGTACTGGAAGTTTTTATTATATTATAGAAGTAGATTAATAAACAATCACACACTCCAACTCATGGTAAGATGACGCTGACATCCCATTGACCTCTTTATCTGCCTTCAATTACGAATCTCTCGTCACATGAGGACTAATAATAAGTGACTAGTTTCTAGTAGCAAGACAGACGTTGGCAAAATTAGCAGAGCTAGAGACACTTTTTCACTAAACATATTCTAGACCTTGCACCTTTTTTCGAAATTTAGCTAAAGTTGTAATCATAAAAGTTTTAACTATGAGGAGTAAGTAGTAAGGAACATTTTTAAAAAATTCATCGATGCTCGTGCAACATACAAGTAATAAAAAAATTCAAAAAAGTTGATAATAGTTTGAGATATAGGCACATATTTTGATTAATTAAATTAAAAAAAAATATATTTTACTTTATTTCAATTTACCCATAAAACAGCTATTTCATGGGTAAAGATCCAATAAAATGTTTTTAAACGGGTTATATATTAGAGCTTTTAAAAATGCTATCTTATACATATATAAAAAGGTGTCACGATGTTCGTTCACGCTAATCTTCGAAACCACTCAACAAAATTTTAACGAAATTTGGTAAATGTCTATAGCTAGTTTCAACTTGAGGGATAGGATAGTTTGCGTAGTTAAGGATTTTTGTAGGATAAACAGTCGTTAGAAAGGGCAGGACTACGTTTTCCTAGCTAACTAATTTATTGTATAAATTGATACTTTGATACCTAATGTTGCTAATATTTTAGAAATAACGGAAAACACAAGAATGGTAAAATTGTATTATTTGTCTTATCATTAATGATATTAAAAGCGTGCTAGTGTAGTTTATCATATTTTACTGCCTACTTTACTCATTCGATTCAGCGTTTAACAATACCAAATTAATTTCAAAGCTTTGGCGAAAATTGAGAAGGGATGCAATGAAAGACAACACGACAAAGTATTGTTTTTGTGTTGTACTAAGATATTTCATAGGTGTTTATAAAACAACGGAATAATATAGTCAATAATGTATGATTAATATATGATTTAATATAGTAATAATATTATGTAGCAATAATATTATTATCATTAAGTACAACAAAGTTTCTTTCGCTAAAATACAACCATACGTGTCAGCAAATTACGCAGAAGATTTTTAATATTATACTCACACTACAAATATATTATAATTAAAATATAAATATCTCACTATCTCAAATTATAAAAAGATTTTAAGTTCTTTAGAAAGCGTTTCAAAAAATCGCTATTTTGATTTTGAAGTTTACAAGTTTCTTTTTTTGGTGCAGTTGCATCGCTAGATTATTTGAATGGCTTATAAATAATTGTTCCGGGTCTAAAGTTTATCCTTATGTATGTAAACTGCCCCTAAGATACAGGATAAAATCCTAGTGTTGAGGTAATGTTTTTTTAAAGAAATGATAAAAAGTTTTATAATTACATTTAAAAAAATATTATTTATTAATGTAAAATCCAAAAAGTAGGGTTATAGTCATATAAGTTATTTAAATATAAACGTACAAAGAATATATTTTTCATTATAACACAGTCTTTGTAGCCAATACGATAAGTTACAGACTGTGAGGTATACTGAGTCAACAAAGGTGATAACTCCTTTGCAGCCTTCTTTTTTTGAAGTTAGCTAAAGGTCCGGTCGTCTACAATCAGCATACATCAGCATTAAGCTGCTATTTTACTGTGGTATTCTCTGGTATTGAGCATCCCCAGTAGAGCCGCCTATTTAATTATACCAGATAAACAAGCAATAAAAATGGATGTGGACTTGTGAAGGGCTGTAATGATGATCATGTTAATAATGACAATGATGAAACGAACAAGCTGTAGCAGGTAGTAGGACGCTGTGCACGTGATAATTGAATAGAAAATAGTAGAAGTAAATAATGCTTAATATTTATTCAGAGTTATTTATACTTTTAAGACTAGTTCGAAAAAGCCTCTTTATTGAGAAAAATAAACAAAAGAAGAACCAACAAAACCCAGCGGGACTTTGCTTAAATAATATATTGTAAAACTAGCGATCCGGCCCGGCTTCGCACGGGTGATTTCTGAATCTCGATAACAGCGCCACCTACCGGGTCCAATTGAGTTTTTTAGGGACCCACGCAAATGGGCACAAAACATTCATCAAAATCTTTCAAGCCGTTTTAGAATTTTAGCGAGACTAACGGATAGCAATTGTTTTTTATACAACATGTAACATAATTAACGCACATCCTGGAAGTAGTTTGTTCAGAATCGTTTACTGAATCGAGTCCTATCATTTTAATATAGGTAATTTTTTAACCCAAAAATAATTAAAACTACGTAAATTACAGTCACACTAAATCTTTACAGTCAAAACAAACTGAAATGAACCGTAACTTAAGGCAATAAGACTTTTAAGAGTGCAGTTTTATTTCTATTATTACTAATTCAGTCATTCAATAAAAATAAAGAAAAATGAACTTTATTTCAAGCACGTTAAAGTCTTTGCGTTCGTGGATTTGTACTGTGACCACAACATTCTTCCTGAATTAGTATAACTAATTTGATAAATAATCAGTGCATAAAAATGTTTAACTAAAAATTCATGTGTATGTATTATGATTATAACATAATATACTAATTGGGGTGTCTGAGGGTGTGCGTTAATTACGTTACATATTGTATATAAAAAGAAGATAATTTAGAAGAAAGTTTAAGCATTTTGAAAACCCCAAAACAAAAAGATCTGACAATCTTCAAACGGTTTTTTTTAATCATAGCTAAGAACACTCTCAACTAAGACAATTTTGAAGCGAAAAAAACTTAATCATAATCGGTTAATCCGACCTGGGGCTATGATGCTACAGACAAATACACTCATAACACTCCTCTGTTTTCTTCGGGGGTTAAAAAAAAGAAAATGAATCGGAAATAGTTTTACATATTTTTGTATTAAAATTTCTTAAATTTAATATAATAATTATTAAAATTAACGTATTGATCTTAACACTAAATTTAGTGAAGTGAACGGAAGAGTCGGTAAGGGACGTCCTGGGTGAAAGTTTGCCGACCAAATTGGCGATCTATTGAAAAGGGGCCAAATTAAGAGTACCCTTAACCGACAAGCA